GGTCAAAAAAATTTTCGAAAAAAAAATTTTGAGCGAAAAAATTTTGGCCCAAAAATTTTTCGGAAAAAATTTTTGGTCAAAAAAAATGTTGGTCAAAAAAATTTTTGTCAAAAAAATTTGATATTGACCAATATTGGACCGATATTCACCAATATTGGACCGATATTGACCAACATTGGACCGATATTGACCAATGTTGGACCGATATTGACCAATGTTGGACCGATATTGACCAATGTTGGACCGATATTGACCAGTATTGGACCGATATTGACCAATATTGGATCGATATTGACCAATATTCGAACGATATTGACCAACATTGGACCGATATTGGCCAATACTCTGAAAAAAAAATTTGGGAAAAAATATTTGGTCAAAAAAATTTTGGAAAAAAAATTTTGGTCAAAAAAATTTTCGGAAAAAAATTTTGGTCAAAAAAATTTTGGTCAAAAAAATTTTGGTCAAAAAAATTTTGGCCCAAAAAATTTGGGGAAAAAAATTTTGGTCAAAAAAATGTTGGTAAAAAAAATTTTTGTCAAAAAAATTTAATATTGACCAATATTGGATCGATATTGACCAATATTGGACCGATATTGACCAACATTGGACCGATATTGACCAATGTTGGACCGATATTGACCAATATTGGCCCGATATTGACCAATGTTGGACCGATATTGACCAATATTACACCGATATTGACCATATATTTGGTAAAAAATAATTTCGAAAAAAAAATTTTGATCAAAAAAATTTTTAGTCAAAAAAATTTTGGTCAAAAAAATTTGGGAAAAGATTTTTGTCAAAAAAAATTTGGGGAAAAAAATTTTGGTCAAAAAAATTTTCTTTAACCAACATTTTTTTGACCAAAAATGTTTTCTGAAAAATTTTTGGGCCAAAATTTTTTCGCTCAAAATTTTTTTTTCGAAAAATTTTTTCCCAAATTTTTTCCCAAATTTTTTCCCAAATTTTTTTTGACCAAAATTTTTTGAACCAAAATTTTTTTGACAAAATTTTTTTTCCCAAATTTTTTTTGACCAAAATTTTTTTGATCAAAATTTTTTTGACAAAAAATTTTTTTGAGCAAAATTTTTTTTCCGAAAATTTTTTTGACCAAATATTTTTTCCCAAATTTTTTTTTCCGAATATTGGCCAATATTGGACCGATATTGACCAATATTGGACCGACATTGACCAATATTGGCCCGATATTGACCAATGTTGGACCGATATTGACCAATATTACACCGATATTGACCATATATTTGGTAAAAAAAAATTTCGAAAAAAAAATTTTTGTCAAAAAAATTTTGGTCCAAAAAATTTTGGTCAAAAACAATTTTGGTCAAAAAAAATTTGGGAAAAAAATTTTCGAAAAAAAAATTTTGAACGAAAAAATTTTGGCCCAAAAATTTTTCGGAAAACATTTTTGGTCAAAAAAATTTTGTCAAAAAAATTTGATATTGACCGATATTGATCGATATTGACCAACATTGGACCGATATTGACCAATATTGGACCGATATTGACCAACATTGGACCGATATTGACCAATGTTGGACCGATATTGACCAATATTACACCGATATTGGCCAATATTCGGAAAAAAAAATTTGGGAAAAAATATTTGGTCAAAAAAATTTTCGGAAAAAAAATTTTGCTCAAAAAAATTTTTTGTCAAAAAAATTTTGATCAAAAAAATTTTGGTCAAAAAAAATTTGGGAAAAAAAATTTTGTCAAAAAAATTTTGGTTCAAAAAATTTTGGTCAAAAACAATTTTGGTCAAAAAAAATTTGGGAAAAAATTTGGGAAAAAATTTTTCGAAAAAAAAATTTTGAGCGAAAAAATTTTGGCCCAAAAATTTTTCAGAAAACATTTTTGGTCAAAAAAATGTTGGTTAAAGAAAATTTTTTTGACCAAAATTTTTTTCCCCAAATTTTTTTTGACCAAAATTTTTTTGACAAAAATCTTTTCCCAAATTTTTTTGACCAAATTTTTTTTAATAAAAATTTTTTTGATCAAAATTTTTTTTTCGAAATTATTTTTTACCAAATATATGGTCAATATCGGTGTAATATTGGTCAATATCGGTCCAACATTGGTCAATATCGGGCCAATATTGGTCAATATCGGTCCAACATTGGTCAATATCGGTCCAATGTTGGTCAATATCGGTCCAATATTGGTCAATATCGATCCAATATTGGTCAATATTAAATTTTTTTGACAAAAATTTTTTTTACCAACATTTTTTTGACTAAAATTTTTTTCCCCAAATTTTTTGGGCCAAAATTTTTTTGACCAAAATTTTTTTCCGAAAATTTTTTTGACCAAAATTTTTTTGACAAAATTTTTTTTCCGAAAATTTTTTTGACCAAATATTTTTTCCCAACATTGGACCGATATTGACCAATGTTGGACCGATATTGACCAATATTACACCGATATTGACCAATATTCGGAAAAAAAAAATTGGGGAAAAATATTTGGTCAAAAAAATTTTTGGAAAAAAAAATTTGCTCAAAAAAATTTTTTGTCAAAAAAATTTTGGTCAAAAAAATTTTGGTCAAAAAAATTTTGGTCAAATAAAATTTGGGAAAAAATTTTTGGTCAAAAAAATTTTGGCCCAAAAAATTTGGAGAAAAAAATTTTGGTCAAAAAAATGTTGGTCAAAAAAGTTTTTGTCAAAAAAAATTGATATTGACCAATGTTGGACCGATATTGACCAATGTTGGACCGATATTGACCAATATTGGACCGATATTGACCAATGTTGGACCGATATTGACCAATGTTGGACCAATATTGGACCGATATTGACCAATATTACACCGATATTGACCATATATTTGGTCAAAAAAAATTTCGGAAAAAGAATTTTGCTCAAAAAAATTCTTTGTCGAAAAATTTTTGGTCAAAAAAATTTTGGTCAAAAAAAATTTCGGAAAAAAATTTTGGTCAAAAAAATTTTCGGAAAAAAAATTTTGCTCAAAAAAATTTTTTGTCCAAAAAATTTTGGTCAAAAAAAATTTGGGAAAAAATTTTTGGTCAAAAAAATTTTGGTCAAAAAAATTTTCGGAAAAAAAATTATGCTCAAAAAAATTTTTTGTCAAAACAATTTTGGTCAAAAAAAATTTGGGAAAAAAAATTTATGTCAAAAAAATTTGATATTGACCAATGTTGGACCGATATTGACCAATGTTGGACCGATATTGACCAATGTTGGACCGATATTGACCAATATTGGACCGATATTGACCAATGTTGGACCGATATTGACCAATGCTGGACCGATATTGACCAATATTGACCAATGTTGGACCGATATTGACCAATATTGGACCGATATTGACCAATATTGGACCGATATTGACCAATATTGGCCCGATATCGACCAATGTTGGACCGATATTGACCAATATTGGACCGATATTGACCAATGTTGGACCGATATTGTCCAATATTCGGAAAAAAAAAAATTGTCAAAAAAATTTTGGGAAAAAATATTTGGTCAAAACAATTTTCGGAAAAAAAATTATGCTCAAAAAAATTTTTTGTCAAAAAAATTTTGGTCAAAAAAAATTTGGGAAAAAATTTTTGGTCAAAAAATTTTGGTCAAAAAAATTTTGGCCCAAAAAATTTTCTGCTCAAAAATTTTGGTCAGAAAAATTATTGTCAAAAAAATTTTGGTCAAAAAAATTTTGGCCCAAAAAATTTTGGTCAAAAAGATTTTCGAAAAAAAAATTTTGGTAAAAAAATTTTTGTAAAAAAATTTTGGTCCAAAAAATTTTTGGTCAAAAAAATTTCGGTCCAAAAAATTTTGGTATAAAAAATTTTGGTCCAAAAAATTTTGGGAAAAAAATTTTGGTCCAAAAAATTTTTGGTCAAAAAAATTTTGGTCCAAAAAATTTTGGGAAAAAAACTTTGGTCAAAAAAAATTTTCATGAAAAAAATTTTTGGAAAAAAAATTGGGAGAAAAAGTTTTTGGGAAAAAAAGTTTTTTTGGAAAAGGGTTCTACTGACGACCAACTAAAATAAAAGACAGTAAATAGAAAAAAGACTCTACTAACGAGCAACCTGAAATAAAAAAATATTAAACTAGTTTGGTACATTTATTATAATGCAAATTACTTTGTTATAAACTAGTGGTGTATGGCATCGTGCCTTAACGCAAATTGCTGGAACTTCCCGTACCGTAATGAAAAAATATTCGAGAAATATTAAATGTTTTCAAATAGATTATTATAAATACTGTAACATTTGTCTAATATTTATAAGAATTATATAAACTGAATTGCAAAGTTGAAATTATTTGTTTAAAGTATATTACCATTAATAAAAAATTGTAACTAGTGGTGTATGGCATCGTGCCTTAACGCAAATTGCTAGAACTTCCCGTACCGTAACGAAATGTTTGAGGAATTTTGAATGTTTTCAAATAGATTATTATAAATAAATACTGTAACATTTGTCTAATATTTATAAGAATTATAGAAAGAGAATTGCGATGTTAAAGTTATTTATTTGAAGTATATAATAAGTGAGTTTTAGAACCTCAGCTAGAAAATATTAAAATTCAAATGATTATCGAAATTCAAAAAAATTTTTTTCGACCAATTTCCAAAAATCAATCGAACAGAAATTTTTTGTCTCTTTGACATCTTTGATCTCAAAAAAATTTTTTGTACATTTAGCTCGGTATCTCCGAAACGTCTGCACCTGCCTTCGCCAAAATCTAATCACCACTCCTCTCCGTTATTAACGATTGAATGTTTTTTGAATCATTCAAATCGGATGCTCCGTTCTCTCTCAAAAAAAAACGATTTATATTAATCTTGTCGTTGATTTTCGGACGATTACGATACCTTACCCCACGGGAAGTTAATTAAACGCAAATTTGTATTAAATTTTAAATTTATTTTGTTAAATAATTACATTACTAGATAACAAAACCATACAATATATTTATTTATATATAGATGTCTTTACATTAAATTCATTTCAACTTAAAAAAAAAACTTGTTGCATTTTTCACCCTTGACTCTCTCTCTCCATCTCGCTCTCTCATGAGAGACAGAAAGAGATGCAAATACACATTGAAAAAGTTCATTATCAATTATTATTAAATTTATTTCATTATTGTTAATCTCAAATTCATAATAATCATAATAATGATGATGATAATAATAATAATAATAAGCATAGGCGGCAGTATTCATAATTTCTTTAGCTTTAGTGTTTTTGCATTTTTGCATTTTTTCATTTTTGTTGCAGTTGTTTGGTTTCTGAAAGAAAACCGATTTGTTTTTGATTTATAAATATCGAACCGAAGGCAATACTAAACATAAAATGTACAAAAAATATAAAATCAAAAAATACCCATTTTTTGTCATGATCGTAAAAAGGGATCGAGGGGGAGATGTTTTATATATATATATATATATATATATATATATATATATAATTGTTTTGCCCATCCTTTTCTAATACGTTTCGACACGTAAAGTGTGTCATCATTCAATAAATTTAAATTCCAAGAAATCAGATTTAAAAAACATCAAACCCAAAATTTTTTTTCCATTTTTTTCCAAAATTTTTTTTCCCCAATTTTTTTTCTCAAATTTTTTTCCCAAATTTTTTTTCCAATTTTTTTTTTCCCAAACATTTTTTTCCAAAATAAAAATTCTTGGGAAATAAAAGAAGAATGTTTTTCGTGAATTAAAATATAAAAAAAATATCAAATTATTTATCAAGTAAAAATAAATATATCATACAAAACCAAAACAAATAAATATAGAAACAATAATTTTAATTAAAAAAAAACAAAAATTCTTGAGAAATAAAATAAGAATGTTTTTTGTGAATTGAATTTGTCAGTTTGTTTCAAATTTTGTGTTTTGTTTTTCCCCGGTGTACGATTTATTATTGAATGGCGATGACACACATCGAGAGTCGAAACGTAAAAATGAAAAATAAGAATCAATGGGTAAAAAAAATTTTTGGGGGAAAAAAAGTCTTTGATTTTCTGAGGAAAAAAAATTGTGAAGAAAATTTTTGGAGAAAAAAATTTTGGAAAAAAAATTTTTGGGAAAAAAATTTGGGGGAAAAAATTTTTGGGAAAAAAATTTTTTGGGGAAAAACCATGGACTATATATATATAATTTTTGATTTTCTGGGAAAAAAAATTTTGGAAAATGTTTTTTTTTTGGGAAAAAAAATTTGGGAGAAAAAATTTTTGGGAAAAATTTTTTGAGAAAAAAATTTTTAGGGTAAAAACTATGGACTATATATATATATAATCTTTGATTTTCTGTGAAAAAAAATTTTGTGAAAAAATTTTTTTGGAAAAAAACATTTTTTGGGAAATAAAAAATGAAAAGTCGATTTAAAAAAAGGACATATTTGTGTTAATCAAATTTGTCATTTGTTTAGAAATAAAGTTTCAAATTTAGTGTCTCGGTTTAGTCTAGTTTGATGATTTACTGAATGATGATGACACACATCCCGTGTCGAAACGTAAAAATAAAAAGTGAAAATTAATACATCAGTTTTATTAAAAAAAAATCGATTTTTGAATAATTTTTCAAAGATATAAAAAACATTACCACGTTTCGGAACTAGATATGTTCCATCATCAGGTTTTTTTCTATTAAAGATGTAGTAGTTATGTTCCTGTTGATTTTTCTTAACTAAATTTAGTCTTTAAAATTAGTCAATTTTTTTTTAATAATTTTGCTTCAAACTTTGTATTTTGGTTTATTTCTGATTTAATTCACTGAATGGTGATGGCACACATTGGGTGTCGAAACGTAAAACTAAAAAACAAAAAAGACGATTTAAAAAAGAGGAATTTTTTGTGTTAATTGAATTTGTCATTTTTTAGAAAGAAATTTGTTTCAAATTTTGTGCCTAGGTTTAGTCTAGTCTGATGATTTATTGAACGATGATGACACACATCATGTGTCGAAACGTATATATAGAAAGAGGTAAAAATTAATACACCAGTTTTCTCAAAAATCTCCGATATTTTAATATACTGATTTATGTTTCTTTTCCAATTATATATATATATATATATATATATATATATATATATATATCAATCATCTCCCCCCAAAATCCTTCATTAATTTTTTTAAGTATAACTTTTAAGTATGCGTAAACTTTTTTTATGCTTAATCGATTTCATCAGAATTAAAGCATAAGAATTATTATTAATTCAATTTAAATTTAAAACATATTATGCAGATTGCAATTGTTATTTACAAGTATTTATTTATTATTTTAATTGCTCTATTAATTGCAAAATGTATATGTATATATATGTATATATATATATATATATATATATATATTATATATATACATATACATGTTTTATAAATATTAAATATATAAGTATGAACAATTTCATTAATTACATTGACAAAAGCAGATTATAAGATAATAAAAACATACATGGTGACGATATAGGTAAATATATATATATATATATATATATATATATATATATATATATATATGAATTTCTGAACCTTTTTTATTCATTTTTTAATTATTTTATTCAACGTCTCCAGAATATAAGATGTTCCCTTTTTCAGAAACTATTGATAGCAAGTAAATAATTTATTATTATATATTTATACACTTATTTAATCATTTTAAATCTGAAAGAATTTTCTTTTAACCTTTTTTAAAAATATATTTTTAATATAAACTTTTAACACATATGAAAATGCACCAATGTCCCGGACAAAAAAATGACCTCGATAAAAAAATGTCCTGTTTTCTTTTCAAAATTTTTGTATCAGAGTGTATAAAACTAATTGCACAGAATTTAAATAAATTTTATCTAGTTTTTACTAAAATAAATAAAAAAGAGTGTCCCAGAAGAAGTTTCTGAAATATTTACTGAACTGCAGAAAAATGTCCCCAATTAACATCTTACAAAATAGCAAATAAACAAGGGTGAGTCAACACTTGTTTTTTCCAAAAATTTTGCACTGAAATGTATACAAGAGATGATACGTAAAGTTGATAAAATTGTATCTAGTTTCTGCTAAACTAAATAAAAAGGAGTGTCCTAAAAGAAGATTTCGAGTTATTTGACAAAATGTGAAAAAATATCCCAAATAACGTAGCAAATTTTTAAATACATAAGGGCAACAACAAGCTTGTTTTTTCCCCCCAAAAAATTGTGTCAGAGTGAATAAAACTGTTTGCACAGAATTTAAGTAATTTTTATCTACTTTCTGGTAAACTAACTTAAAGAAAGTGTCCAAGAAGAAAATTTCGTGTTATTTGATAAATTGCAGAAGTGTCCCAAATATGAAAATATTGAAACGCATAAGGGCGAGTTCAAACTTGTTTTTCTCAAAATTTTTGTTTCAGTGTGTGTAAACAATTTTAAACCGGATTGTTATAAATGTTATCTAGTTTATGTTAAGAAAAAAAAGTGTCCACGAAGAAGTTTACAAGTTATTTAATAAATTGCAGAAAATTGTCCCATTTTAACAAGTCGCAATTACTAATACATAATCATAATGAAATACATAAGGGCAAATTTCAACCTTATTTTTTTTTCAAAAATTTTGTACCAGAGCGTATAAAGCATTTGGCATAGAATGGTAGTAAATTTTATCTAGTTTTTGCTAAGCTAGCTTAATATATATGTTCAAGAAGAAATTTTGAAGTTATTTAACAAAATGTAGAAAAGTGTCCCAAATTAACATGAGACATCTTGGAAATTTTGAAATGCCTAAGGTCAAGTTCAAACTTGTTTTTTCCAAAAAAATTGTAACATGGTGTATAAAATAGTTTGTATACAAATGTTATAAATTTCATCTAGATTTTGCTAAACTAACTAAAAAAGAGTGTTACAAAAAAGTTTTTAAATTATTTACCAAAATGTAAAAAAGTGTACCAAATTCATCAAACAGATTTAAACTCATTACTGGTGATAAACAAACATACTAACAAAACTGAAAATCTGTTAAGAAAATGTATTGCAAAATTTCGTTTTTAAAAAGATGAAAAATAAATTCTTTAAATTTTCAAATTATTAAATAAGTATAATAATAATGTATAATGTATAACAATTTTTATACATGTTATCAATAGTTACTAAAGAAGTAGACATCCTACATACCCGGAACGTTGATTAAAATAATTGAAAAATTGAATAAATAATTTTTTGAAGAAAAATGAAGCCCTTGGTTCAATTATATATATATATATATATATATATATACACATATATATCTTTTTCCCTATGTCGTCCCCAACTATAATTACTTTGACACATAATCGTTTAAGAAAATCCATAATAAAAAAAATAATTTATCTATCTGTACGTGTAGTAGTGTAGATGTATATAATATGGTACATTTACCAGTGACTCTAAATTCCACCAAATTCCATTTGCCATTCGATGTGATCAGATGACGAGCGTCATGTCGCGTTTGTTGGGCAAATTGACCTTTTTGCCCTGCCAAAGGGAATTGTGAATCGTGAAGGCGTCTATTGTTACTGTTAAATGCTTCGTGTGCACTTGAGAGAAACATTTGCCACCGGAATTGTATCTGAAAAGTAAAGGAGATGTTAATAGGAATTGACGGATATAGTCGTCATGGAGAAGTGGCAGAATTTTGGGTATTGATAAGTATATTCGTCATGCGTTGGGAATAGAAATATGTAACAATGTGTAAGAATACTTTTAACCAGTTATTTGTACTTGACGAATATACTCGTCATGGAAAATTGTCAGTGTCAGTATTTTGTGTACTGACGAGTATATTCATAAAACATATGTAAACATTCTCTCATAAAATTTGCTTAGCCAGTTATCTGTAATTGACGAATATACTCGTCATAGGTAAGTGGCAAAATTTTATTTATTGACGAGTATATTCACAGAATATGTAAATATGTCAAAATTTTCTCATAAAGTTCTCTTAACTAATTATCTCAACCGGTCATGTTTAATTGACAAATATACTCGTCATGAGAAGGTAAGTATTCGAAGCAAATATTAATATTATAGAACAAATGCTTAGAAAAAGGGAATCTACTGACGAGCAAACCAAAAATAAAATAAAAAAGAGACTACTAACAAGTAAAATAAAAATGAAAAAGGACCGTACTGATAAAAATGTCGGCAGAGAAAGGGACTCTACTGACGAGCAAACCAAAAAATAAATTAAAAAAGAAACTCTACAAACGAGCAAACTGAAAATAAAATTAAAAGAGACTTACTGACGAGCAAACCAAAAATAAAATAAAAACGAATCTCTACTGACAAGTAAATTGAAAATGAAAGTAATAAGGGTCTCTACTGACGATCAAAATAAAAATGAAATTAAGAAAAAGCCATATTGATGGCCACAAAAAATAACGGGAGGAAAAGGGACTCTACTGACGAACAAACTAAATAAAAAAGGGACTCTACTGACCAGCAAACTGAAAATAAAATAAAAAAGGGACTCTACTGACGAGCAAATTGAAAATAAAATAAATATAAAAAAACTCTACTGTCGAGCAAACTGAAAATAAAATAAATAAGAGACTCTACTGTCGAGCAAACTGAAAATAAAATAAATAAAAAGGAACTCTACTGACGAGCAAACTAAAAATAAAATAAATAAAAAGCGACTCTACTGACAAAATAAAAATAAATTAAAAAGGGACTCTATTGTCGATCAAATTAAAAATAAAATAAAAAGGGGTCTCTACTGATGACCAAACTGAAAATAAAATAAATAAAAAGGGACTCTACTGACGAACAAACTGAAAATAATATAAATAAAAAGAGACTCTACTGACGTTCAAAATAAAAATAAAAAAATACCTAACTGATAAAAATGTCGGTAGAAAAAGGGACTCTAAACATAAAATAAAAAGGACTCTGCTGACGCGCAAACTGAAAATTAAAAAAAAGGAACTCTACTGACGACCAAAATAGAAATAAAATTAATAAAGGTCCATACTGATGACCAGATAAAAATGCCACAAGAAAAGGGACTCTACTGACGAGCAAACTGGAAATAAAAAGGGACTCAACTCATGAACAAACTGAAAATGAAATAAAAATAGATTCTAGTGACGATCGAACTAAAATTAAAAAAGGACTCTACTAACGAGCAAATAAAAAATAAGGCAAAAGGGACTCTATTGACAAACAAACTGAAAATAATAGTAAAAAGGAACTGTACTGATAACCAAAAAAAAAACTGGAAGAGAAAGGGGCCCTACTGGCGATCAAATTAAAAAGAACAGAAAAGATAAAAAAGATAAAACTAAAAATAAAAATAAAAAACTAATTTGCCAAATAAATACATAGGTAGAGAAAAGGACTCTACTGGCAAGAAAACTAAAAATAAGATAAAAAGAGACTACTGACGAGCAAAATGACATAAGAAAAATCAATATTCAAAAAATGAAAGAAATGGGGAACTTTACTGACGAGCAAAATGAAATAAAAGAAAAGAGACTCTACTGACGAGCAAAATGACATAAAATAAATCTATATGCAAAAAATAAATGAAAGAGAAACTCCACTCACGAGCAAAATGTATTTAAAAAAAGCGAACTCTACTGCCGCAAAAACTAAAAAGTGTATATTTAAGAGTAGACGTCAACGGTGATCAGTAGAAAACCCAGAACAAAAGTACTAATTTCAAACTTTAACGAACTTTCATAATTAAACCTACTTTTCGTAAGCCTATAATATGTTATAACATTCCTAACACTCCACATGAAAAAATCGATTAAATTCTTACTTATAAGAAAGAAAAAATAAGTTTTTTTTTAATCAATTCAATTTGGATGAAGGGTACGTAAAACCTTTGTAAATATTTAAGGGTTGTTATTGTTAAGAAAATTACAAAAACAAAATTTTTAAATCATTATAAAGTTCACTTCAATAATAAAAATAATAATACTGATCCGATTAGCAAAACTGATGATGTTCATAGAAATTGAGCAAAAAATCCATATTTCAATCATAAATATTTAGGTAAAAAATTTTTTTTCAGCAAAATCCTGAAATACGTGTCAAATGATTTTATGTATAATATGTGTAAAATAAATCAGACAATTCTAAAATGTGACATTTTATTTTTCCGAAAATCCGTACGATTTGTAAAAGAATGACCCTCATATATGTGTAACATTATTACAATTTAATCCAATTTTAGTTTGATATGTTTCCAATATATGCACATGTCAAATTAAATATTTTATTAACTTCCCGAAGGAGAAGTTTATGTTTTCATAAAAAAATCCGATTCGCTAATTTTATGTTTTCTCGACGTTTCAAGCCATTCTGAATCGAATGAGACCAACTTTGGAAAAAGTATGTGTGTGTGTGTGTGTGTGTGTGTGTGAACAGATTTTTTGCCGTAAATCGACGTTTTCTCCAAAACGGCTGGACCGATTTCAAAAATTTAAAAGCCATTTGATGTATCTCGATGAGGACTATCGTCTCTGAGTTTTGTGCGGCAATCGGCCGGGCCGTTTCTTTGTAAATTGCAGAAAAGTGAAAAATTTTCGTCCACGTTTTAGCCCGCAATTCTGAATCGATTCTGAAAATTCAAAAACCATTCGATAGATATTGGTTGGGAATCGTGCTGATTAGTTTTTGGTAAAGATCGGCCGGGCCGTTTTCTTGTAATAACGTTTTTTTAAAAAAAAAATCGACGATTTTTATGATTTTTTTTTTTGACGGTAGATACCATAGTTTTCTAGGTCATACTAAAATATTACGGCCCTACGACAACTCGTTTAGCTTTAAAAATTCGTCAAAGTTTGCAAAAATTGGTATAGTTTTTTTGACATTTGTCAAAATTAGACTTTTGATCGACGTTTTCTCAAAAGCGCCTGAACCGATGTCAGAAATTTAAAAGCCATTTGATATATTTCGGTGAGGACTATCGTTTGTCAGTTTTGTGCGACGATCTGCCAAGTCGTTTCTTTGCAATTTGAAAAAAAGTGTTAAACTTTTCGTCCACATTTAAGCTCATCCTACCGAACCGATTTTGAAAAATCAAAAACTGTTCGAAAGATATTAGTTGGGAATGGTACTGATTAATTTTAGGTGAAAATCTACCGAGCCGTTTTCTTGTAATTAACCGTTGAAAAAAAGTGTTAAACATTTCGTCCACATTTAAGCCCATCCTACCGAACCGATTTTAAAAAATCAAAAACTGTTCGAAAGATATTAGTTGGGAATGGTACTGATTAATTTTAGGTGAAAATCTACCGAGCCGTTTTCTTGTAATTAACTGTTGAAAAAAAAATTTAAGCCGATTTTCATGTAACTTTTTTTGGCGATATACATCATGTTCTTATAGAACTTACTGTAATATTACGGCCTTACAACAGTTTAATTTTAAAAATTCGTCAAACTTTGCTAAAATTATTATCGTTTTTTTTAAAAGTAGGATTGATGAAGTATATTATTTACACTTTTTTTTGATTAAGTCGATCATTTACACATATCGGGAAGTTCATGTAACTTGCCTCAAGGCTAAATACCAAACCAACTAGTTATTTTTTCTACTTACTTGAAAAACTTATCAAACATCTTATCATCGACCACCTTGGGTCCAGTCCCGTACAACTTGATAACCTTATCATCGATTCCCATACCGGCAGCACCACCCATCTCTCCATCCTGGGTATCGTATCCATAGAGTGCCCTAAATTGACAACCAGCATCACGAAAGAGTATCAGGAAATGTTTGCACTCGGATCTCATCATCTCGTCCAGGACTCTTCGTTTGGCTGTCTCGTTGACAGCACCAGGAAAGACACAGTACTCGACTGCATTCAGCATTATGTTACGATTACTTTTGGCCAGGGGTTGTTTGTAGAGCCTTGGACCTGGGGGTAAAGAAATTTGGTAAGGCATACTTATAAACTTAACGATGGCCTGTTTGCTGGTAGCCAAACTATTTATTACCATTATAGTGGTCCATCATGAGGCTGCCAGCAGCACTGCTGACATCGCTTGCTGCATCATCAAACCCTCCACTGCTTCCTGGACCACCTCTTCGACCACTGCTGTACAGGCCTCGAGAAGGAGGCAGAGAACCTGGACCAAGGCCACCTGAAGGCGAAGGTAAATGCCTGACTCCTGGAGAGGGAGCCCTTCGAGGAGGCGTCGCTCGGCCTAAACCGGAATCGGTATCTAGACAAAGTACATTGAATTAGTATTTTTTTTTTTTTTTGGGTATTGTGAAGAATAAATTAGTAGACATTTAGGTGCCCATGATAGATGAAAAATAAGTAGAGAACAAGTAAATAGAGAAATGTTAGTAAGAACAATTGTCCATGATGAATAAATGTTTTTTTCCTAATTTATTATTGGCTTTTTAGACTGTACATTTATGAGCTGATTCTTGGATAAAACAGAAATGTTACGGGTCTAACTTCGTATGAATAGGCAGTAACAAACTGTCTAAAAACTATGTATTTTGCACCAAACCTAACCTACAAAACGCACATACGTTATATAACAATTTTATCAAAAGTGCACCTTTCCGATGTTTCTTCGATAACACAAACGTGAAGTAAAGTTTTATGTGTAAAATGCCTGATCGCGCAACTTTTTGACAGTTTGTTATTTTTACTAATTCATACAAAGATAAGACCGTAAAATTTCTATTTTATCAGCGAATTGGTTCCTTAGCCACTTACAATTTTTAAAAATGTTTTAAATTGTCAATTTTAACTAATTTTTATATGCACTACTCGACCTGGATTCGATCCGGGCACCCTTGTATACGCGGGTCGAGAAAATAGTTAAAATTTTGTATTCATTATTAAATTAAATATATACATGATTAATTAAAAAAAATATAAATAACTAATTTATTACTAAACGTGAACCAAAAATGAATAAAATATAAATTGGTAAAAGAAACAAATCAGAACGCCGAAAAAATTATAAAGAGTAAGAATTAATTACACGATAGCACAAAAAATGATAGAAAATATTAAAATATAAAATTACAAGAAAAGTGAAAAATGAAAATAGAAGAAGCAACTATGTAGAAAATGAAATAACAAAAAAAAAAATAGATAAATGTGTAAAACAATATTTGTTTGTGTGCATGTGTACCTCAACCCATGACACTTTGTGTGGGTAAAAAAAATGTTACAAATGTTACAAAAATGTTAATTATTAATATTTATAGATCTTCGAAGACACCAACCTGTGACAATATTAAACATAAATAAAATTATCAATTATGAGTGAAAAAATATATCATATTTGGAAATATGAACACACATTTTGCACCATTTATTGAATAATATTAAAATTACATGCGTAACTTTCTGGTAACGTTTCGGGACTATAGTTTGTGTCATCAAAAATAAAAATATAAAATTATAATGTTATTATTATTATGAAATATAAAACAATCAGAATAGAGAACTAGAGAGGGCTAATAATTCTGCTCAGGAGACCAATGGCACTAGTATATAATAAGTTTTATAATAATATAATTTATAAAATTTAAGTATAAATCGTGTAATATTTTAATATCTGTTCTTGAATTTACAGTATTTTTTGCATGTGCTATTGATATCGATAAATCAATAAACCGTTTGAATAAATATTTTTCTTGAACATTAAATTTTGTTCACTCTGAATTTACCATATATCAGTAATTAATTAAATACAAATTGTCATTAGATTGAAAAGGTGTAAATTTAGAGTTATATGTATTTGTTTTATACGCATTATAAATACAAAAAAATACAAAAATCAAATATTGACTCAAAAAATAAAAATAAACTTCGGAACGGCCGAAAATCTGTCGGGAATATACCTAAAAGGTTCCAAATTTTTATGAAAATCGAATTTATGGTTTATGAATGCATAAAGGACAAACAGATATACATTCATTTTTATACATGGTCTGTTCAAAAAGTACCCGGAATTACTAATAATTAAATTTCGCGGGTCTGGAGTGTCTGATTGTCAAAATTTTTTTTTTATTGTGTTGGTATACATGCCCCTAAAGTATGATGAAATTTTCAGCTATATTCACTGTTTACTTTGTCTGTGGTAGTCGCTAAGGTTCGACGTGTTTTTCTGAGCTCGGCGATTTTTACAATGGAAGAATTGAAAAAGTCAAAGAATTTGTATTAAATTTTGCGTAAAAAATGAAATAAAGTGTTGCAAAGTGCAAAAATTCACCAGATATGGCTCCGTGTGACTTTTTCCTATTCCCAAAGTTGAAGAGACCCATGAAAGGACGGCGGTTTTCCTCGATTGAAGAAAATCGCCGAGAGTGCTCAAGGACACATCAAAAAGTGAATATCAAGGGTGCTTCGAAAATTGGAAAAAACGCTGGCATAAGTGTATTATATCTGGGGGGGACTACTTTGAAGGGGACCACATTAATGTAGACGAATAAATAAATATTTTTTTGAAAAAACGAAAATTACGAAAACTTTTTGAACAGACCTCGTATATGAATGACTTACACAAATATTTGCCTAGTCTCGAAACATTAGCATGAAGTTTAGTTTGTAACATTAATATTATCCAATAAATTTGCAGCATATATTTCCGAGATAATAACAAAAATTAGTTCACCATCACCTATATTCATTAAGTCACATTAGTATTAACATATACGTATAAAATTAGTCCAACACAAAACATATAGGTACACCTCCATCAATATCCCACAAAGCGTTTTTAATAAACACCACGATGAAACAATTTGTTTTATGTTAGAAAGAAACGTTTTCCTGTACCCCTACCACCGCAAAATAATTTAATTATAATCAATTATACCGCAAAGGTTCATTAACGAATTCGACTTTCTTCCTTTGAAATTCGACGAAGGATATTGATAAGTCGGTTGAAATTTCGTCCTTCCGCGCAATGTCGAAGACGCACCTCCGGCTTGCGGAATGTTGCTTAGATTTTCTAAAATAATCGATAATAAAATAATAAAAATACTTACACATAGTAAATTTCAATTCAATTTTGCACCCTGACTTACAAATAATAGTAAATCCTATTTAATTTTTGGTCGACCTTATATGGATTTCGATAAAAATCTTACTTGCGCAGAATTTAACATATACCTTTAAGTAAAAATGTAAGTAAATTTTTATATATATATTTTTTCAATATTGAAATATTGATGAACCGTTATACCATAAATAATGTTTTATGTAAAAAAAAAAATAATTTTGGACATAAGATAATTGATGTCTGGTAAACATAACACTGACATTAGATTTTGACGTAAGATTTAACATATATCAGAGCATTTAAGGAAATATTCTAGTGTAGAAATTCAAAAAAATGTTTTTACTTCTGTTCCATATTTGCAAATCTTGCAAAAATATGTGTACGAAAGAATTTTTAAAAATTTAAATTATTTTCGGAAATACACCTGCTTGACCACTATAAACCTCTTTTTCGCGAAATTTTAATGTGTTTTTCTCAAAACCGTCTTTTTCAATAAGATGCCCACGATTTCTCGACTTTTACTGAACCGATTTACTTGAATATTTCAGAGAATCTTCTTCATAGACATCTCTCGAGCATATACTAAACTCATCCCCAAATTTCAATTTTTACTATTTTTAAAAAAATCGTGAAACTCAAAGTGGTAAGAAGAATTATATATTTTTTCAAACTATCTACTTGAAATTTTCAGAGAATTTTCTTTATAGACTTCTTTCTTACGTATACTAACCTGATACCCAAATTTCAATTTTTACTATTTTTAAAAAATCGTGAAACTCAAAAAGTGGTAAGGAAAATTATATTTTTTTCAAACTATTTACTTGAAACTTTTAGAGAATCTTCTTTATAGACTTTACTCTGGCGTATATTTGCCTCATCCCCAAATTTCAATGTTTACTATTTTGGAAAAATTCGAGAATACCTTAAAAGTGGTAAAAAAATGCTATTTTTTTTCAAACAGTCGCAATTATGTAAAAAAAAAAAATTAACTTAATTCTAGTATATGCATTTTTTTTCTTTTCGGAAAAAGAGCTAAAAGCGTGGACATGGTCACGTGTCAATTTTTTAGGACCTCCCCACCTCAACAATTGCTAATTTTTGAAATTATTTACATTTTTCTTTTCACATATTTATGTCTGTGCACTGATAAATAAATTATAGAAAAAATGGTAGTAAAAGAAACGGATTGCCTTTTATATAGAATATTTTAAAATTGCCCTAAAATTCATACTTCTACATTAAATACCCTCTTAAATATAAATTGTCATTAATTAAAATTTATAGAATTAAAATTCAGTTTTTATATTAAAAATTACTAATTTTTTGGTAAAAATAAAGCAGACTTTACATTTTAATTAAGCAAAATTTAACATAAATCAGCATTTGAGTACAAATTTCAAGTAAATTGGTACTTCTTTGATGTTACCCATAGATATTAAATTTTTCTCAATAATAAGTTGTTTTTTGTTATTTTTTTCGTTACTCCTACATATATACATAATTACTATTATGTATCATTTTAACATAAAGGAAAAATATTGAATTTAGAAAACTTGCTAACTCTTTGTCTATTTATTTGAATTCTTCTTCTTTAAATTTCTTTAAATTATTAATAAACGTATAACATTTCTTTAAATTTTGATATTAAACAAAATATACTTAAAGTTTGGAAATTTGATTTGCGTCTTAATATACAACTTTATGTTTTTACTTTCATATTTTTTTTTGCTTTTTAACGCTTCAGGCTGTGGATTTAATTTTTTTTATAAGTTACTCGATTCATATAGAGACCTATCATATATATTATATAATATATATATATATATATATATATATATATATATATATATATATTAATTTAATATGAACAAAACAGCACTCAGATTTGTTTAACACAACTTTATTTTATGATTACAGACGTTTCGAGACCATGGTGTGTCTCATCCTCAGTGTAATTTCAAAAACAGTTACTTATATACTACACATTCTTTAATAATTTATTTAAATTTTATTTAATTTTTGGTATACAAAAAACACCAACTATTCCTTGCAATGCTTGACACAGAATAGTTGGTGTTTTTTGTATACCAAAATTAAATAAAATTTAAATAAATTATTGTGTGTATAGTAACTGTTTTTGAAATTACACTGAGGATGACACACCATGGTTTTGTTCATAAAGTTGTGTTAAACATCTGAGTGCTGTTTTGTTCAATTAAACAATTAATATATATATATATATATATATATATATATATATATACTATCATTACCTCTAGAAGTTTTATACGAGCCTCGTCTGCCCAATCCTTGACTCGTTGACCTGCTAGGTGCATCCTCAGGAGATTCTAATCCAAAAATAATTACCAGATCTTTTTTTTTCAATTGATGTATAATAAAATAAGAAATGTATTATTATATTATTGTTATATAAAAACAAATACAGCAAAAATAAAACAATGATATATATATATACTATCATTACCTCTAGAAGTTTTATACGAGCCTCGTCTGCCCAATCCTGACTCGTTGACCTCCTAGGTGCATCCTCAGGAGATTCTAATCCAAAAATAATTACCAGATCAGTTTTTTTTTTCAATTGATGTATAACAAAATAAGAAATGTATTATTATATTATTGTTATATAAAAACAAATACAGCAAAAATAAAACAAATGTAAAACGAAGTGTTGATTTATCGATGAAGACAGGCTGTCTTGCGACTGTAGTAATCCCTCCTGATGGTGCCCCCAGATTGACTTTATGCCTTACGAGGGACAAAACAAAACAAAAATAAATAAAAGACTAAAAAAAGTTATACATGTTACTGTGGAAAGTAACTACAGGCCTATTAAAACACTAAAGGAACTTCCTAAAATATTGATAATTAGCAGTCTGAACATACACCGTGCATGTCCTAATCTCAATTAACATATAATTATTTCAATAAATTCGTGCCTTATTAAAAAAAAAAGCACATTTATCAGATATAGAACTTTGAGTTTTGTGGTAAAATAGACTAATGTTATGGCAATGCTGTGTTAGGCTCCGTTTTTCATATAAAATCTTACCAAAAATGTCAAAATGCTATGTTATTCTGTGCAGTCAAACGTCAACATGTAGGAAGTTAGATTTTATGTATAAAACCGCCTGGCTGCACGGCAACCGCGTAGCTTTTTGACAGCTTTTAGTACCAATTTTATAAGTTATTTATAAGCCATAACATTGATATGGTATTATATGGCAATATTGATCCATTTATTACTATCGAAAATCTCTAAATTTTACACACTTAATGAGCAGTAGATTAAATATGGCCTGTAGTTTCATATAAATGCAATTTTTATAAATAAAAAGCAGTGCAAAAGGGTTCATGAACAAAAATATAAACAAATATAGATATATACATGGTGCTAATAATAGAAGGGAATTATTAGAAGATAAGAAGATTAGTATAATTTCTGAGTGGGAATTATAGCTTTCCAAATCCTCCTCCCACAAAGTAATACCTAAAGGCTGTTTTCGAGGGTAAGAAACAAACAGAGGTTTTAGTCGGTATTAGGAAATGCGGTATTCCGGAATACCAAGAATTAAATTGGATATAATTTTGTTAAATTATTATTTAAAAAATAACTTATTGTTTTTTTTTTATTGTTTAGTTGAATATAGTTGTAGTTGTATATATAATTTTTTATATTTGTATTAGTAACTTTCATTTTTTTCTACATTTGTTTAAGATTACCGAAATACCGGTATTGAAATTTTTTATTTATCGTTATTGCATTCCCTAGTCGGTATTATACCCAAGCGGTACTAATTCCGGCATATTCAGACAAAAGACTTAGTCTGGGATGCACAAATGCATTTCCTTCGCCACCAAAAATAAAGCTTGGTATTAATAATGGACTTTTTGAGACCATCAACTTTTTTTTAAACTAGATCAACATCGTATAAAAAAATCAAAATGTATATTAACAAATTACTTATTTAATATGCACAACTAGTGTAACCGCCTAAAAACAAATGATTTTTGGGAATTTATATCAAAAAAAACTTTATCAATCATTTCAAAATTTTAAGAATATTTTATACATTTTTTAAGAATACATAGTAAAATTTTTGAAGAAAAAAATTAAATATTTATTAAGTTATCGCCGATCTCCAACGGCGCGACAAAAAAAAAGGCCTTTCACTGCTGCAGTGATTCCGGCCTTCTACGTGGATGAAATTAAAAAAATTATTATTCAACTATATAATATATATTGTCTGTAAAATGACCTACGATAGAAAAAAATCAAACATTGACAAAATAGTGGCGTTTAAAAAAAAGTTGAATTTTACCCAAAAATTTGGTCGTTTTTGGACTGCCAAAATTCGATTTTAGTTCCGATCAAAAAATCGTTAGTTCATTTTACGGAGAAGTATATATAGAACATGTGAAAAAAATTTGATAGTGATCGGATCATTTGTTTTTGAGTAACCGCTGCAGACAATTCGGAAAATGCTGTTTCGATAAAAACGCGTTTAAAGATAAAATGATCGTTATACTATATACTATGTATATACTCTTTAAATGGCTGTGACTCAAAAACTATTTAAGATATCGATTTAAAATTTTGGTATGTTATTTTTAAAGGTATAACCTATCGAAATATGGAAAAATTGAAAATTAGATTTTTTGATAATTTCACACTAGTTGTGCCCCTTGAATTATAATTCACTATTTATTCATTTAATAAAAAAATCCGCCAGGCTGATGCATCTTTACAAAAAAAAAGTTCAAAAATGAAAAAAGTTTCCTTTCTATTATCCCGAAAAGTTTTTGATTTAAACCTCTTGTTTGAACAACAGATCTAATAACGCAAACCTCTATGAATTATCATTACCACCATGTATATCATCTTAATCCACATAAAAAATTGCTCACCAAACAAACCAACAAAATAATCATTTCCACTTATTACCTGACAAATTGCTGCTCGATCCCTTCTTCCCCCGACTGTTGACCAGAGCCAAACTATCAGATATTTCCTGAGAATCGATATGTATTGTCTTAGGACGTTGTCTAGGTTTGCCACCGGCTGCGCTGCCTATCGTGGAACTACTCGAGCTATTAGTTTTGGTTCTGAGCCTGGGTGTCGTGCTGGTCTGGTTGGCGGCGTTCAATGGCGTCGTGATCTTCAGAGAGTGCATGAGCTCGTTCTTGTCTATCACCTTACCCTGGGGGAAGAGGATAGAGGAAAATTTAATCGAGAATTAAACTAGTGGTGTATGGCATCGTGCCTTAAGGCAAATTGCTGGAACTTCCCGTACCAAAAATTATTAATTTTTTAAAAACGACTAACAGTTTTGAAAAAAATCACTGAAAAAATTAGATTTTTAAGAAACTATAAATTTTTGACAAAAATTTACTTTTTTTGAAAAAAAGACTTTTTGAAGAAAAATTTATTTTGAAATATTTTGGAAATTCTGAACTTTTTTTCAAAGCAATCGTACTGCTTTAAGACGAATGCATAGAGACTTGCATAGAGACGAAATATCGAAGCGTCGCCGTCTAACGCATAAACATTGGTACGGAACCCAATGTAATGTAAACAAAATTTATACTTATTGTTAAAATCTCTATAAAATATCTGATAATTTGATGTGCATATGTTTAATGATCATTTTTGACCGCTAGATGGCATTTTTGTTTACTTTTTTTACTAGATCTCCTAAACTGCTAGACCTGCCTTCATGAAAATTTGACCAATTCTTCATCTTGTCAATACAAGTAAAATGCTTTTTGAATTTTTAAAATCGGACGCTCCGTTCTCTTAAAAACGGGGTTACCGTTTTCGGCACTTTTTGCCCCGTATCTTCGGAACGACTAGACCTGCCTTCGCCAAAAACTAATCAACACGTCTCCTTATCAATACGAATCGAATGTTTTACGAATTATTCAAATCGGTTAATCCGTGTTCTCGAAATCGTCGACGAAAATTTGTATCCGTACACACACACATACACACACACATACATCCATTTTTTTCTAAGGTATGCCAAAATGTTCAGAAGGTTTTCAAATGTGAAGATATATAAAAGTTTTCATTTTCGATTTTTTTGCGATTACTATAACTTGCCCTACGGGAAGTTAAAAATATTTTATGGAAAATAAAAAAAGATGTAATTTTTCATCCTCAAAAGCAATTGTTTTGTCAATACAAGTAGAAAGTTTTTTTGGATCATTCAAATCGGATGCTTAGTTCACTCAAAAACTGCCATTTTTTGCACATTTAGCTCTGTATCTCCAAAACCGCTGAACCTGCCTTTGCCAAAAACTAATAAGCACATCAACCTATCAATAGGGATCGAACGTTTTTTAAACCATTTAAATCGGTTGATACGTGCGCCCGAAAACGTTCACGAAAAAATGCGGACATACAAAACACACACACATCCATTTAGTTTCTGAGGTATGCCCCTTAAAAATGTTCAGAAACCTTCAAAACGTCGAGAAATGCAAAAATGTTCATTTTCGATTTTCAGCCCATTACTATAACTATCCTACGGCAAGTTAAAAATGGTCTTTTCATTATTACCTCTCTCTCGGCCTCCTCGATAGCCTTCTTCAACCTATGCCTGTCCAAAATTTCCTGTCTCCTCCTGGCTTGTTCTTCTTTCCGCCTCGATTTTTCTTCTTCGGCAGCCCTCTCTTTTTCCTTTTCCCTCTCCAAATCAGCTTCCCGTTTGGCCCTGTCCTCATCCTGCTTCTGTCTGCGCCTTAAGGAAAGTAGCATAATCTTTTCTTTCTTTCTTTCCATTTCGTCCACAGAATCCTAAAAAAAAATATACAAACTAGTTGTAAGTATTCTACCAAAACAATGTGTTGTGGATGTTTTGTTTATATTTACCGGATCTGGGTTGGCAAGATCAGTTCCTATGATGAGTGCTGCTGGTGTAGGTTGATCGTGACTTTTATCTCGATTCACATCGTTTTGATTTGTATTCCTATTTGGCTCGGCACTTAAAGTTTCCCTCTGAAATAAACATAACAATTTAGCAACATCACATTACACATAGCCTTTTTTTATATCATCTCACCTTATCCCTTACAATAACTCTTTCCCTGTCCAATTCGGCAGCCAGCATCTCCACATCCTTATTGAATTTATCATTAGTTTTGGTTTCCATTTGATGCGTATTGTTGTTCTGCATACTGTTGTTATTACTATGCTGTTGACTTTGTGTTGTCGAAGGTGTTCTTTTGGCTCTGAGTGGAGGTTTTGGTCGTTTAGGCTGTTTGTTGTCGTTGTCTTCGAATGATATATAGAAACCTGAAAATTAAAATGGTAATTTTATAGTTCATGATCTACAAACGCTCAGATAATATAGAACACTCTCAGAAGATCTACAAGACTCTCAGACGAGCTGCAAGACTCTCAGACCACCTGCAAGACTTTCGAACCATCTGCAAGACTCTCGGACCATCTGCAAGACTCTCGAACCATCTGCAAGACTCTCGGACCACCTGCAAGACTCTCGGACCACCTGCAAGACTCTCGGACCACCTGCAAGACTCTCGGACCACCTGCAAGACTCTCGGACCACCTGCAAGACTCTCGGACCATCTGCAAGACTCTCGGACCACCTGCAAGACTCTCGGACCACCTACAAGACTCTCGGACCACCTGCAAGACTCTCGGACCACCTGCAAGACTCTCGGACCACCTGCAAGACTCTCGGACCACCTGCAAGACTCTCGGACCATCTGCAAGACTCTCGAACCATCTGCAAGACTCTCGGACCATCTGCAAGACTATCGGACCACCTGCAAGACTCTCGGACCACCTGCAAGACTCTCGGACCATCTGCAAGACTCTCGAACCATCTGCAAGACTCTCGGACCATCTGCAAGACTATCGGACCACCTGCAAGACTCTCGGACCACCTGCAAGACTCTCGGACCACCTGCAAGACTCTCGGACCACCTGCAAGACTCTCGGACCACCTGCAAGACTCTCGGACCACCTGCAAGACTCTCGGACCACCTGCAAGACTCTCGGACCACCTGCAAGACTCTCGGACCACCTGCAAGACTCTCAGACCATCTGCAAGACTCTCAGACCATCTGCAACACTCTCATCATTTGCAAGACTCTCAGACCATCCGCAAGACTCTCAGACATTCTGCAAGACTCTCAGACATTCTGCAAGACTCTCGGACCATCTGCAAGACTCTCAGACCATCTGCAAGACTCTTAGACCATCTGCAACACTCTCATCATTTGCAAGACTCTCAGACCATCTGCTACAGTCTCAGACCATCTGCAACAGTCTCAGACCATCTGCAACAGTCTCAGACCATCTGCAACAGTCTCAGACCATCTGCAACAGTCTCAGACCATCTGCAACAGTCTCAGACCATCTGCAACAGTCTCAGACCATCTGCAACAGTCTCAGACCATCTGCAACAGTCTCAGACCATCTGCAACAGTCTCAGACCATCTGCAACAGTCTCAGACCATCTGCAAGACTCTCAGACCATCTGCAAGACTCTCAGATCATCTGCAAGACTCTCAGACCATCTGCAAGACTCTCAAAACATATGCAAGACTCCCAGACCATATGCAAGACTCCCAGACCATATGCAAGACTCTCAGACAGACTGCAAGACTCTCAGGCATTCTGCAATACTCTCAGACGTTCTGCAATACTCTCAGACGTTCTGCAAGACTCTCAGACGTTCTGCAAGACTCTCAGACGTTCCGCAAGACCGTCAGACAACCTGCAAGACTTTCAGACTAACTCTCAAACAATCTGCTAGACTCTCAGATGATATACAACACTCTCAGACGATCTGCAAGACTCTTAGATGATATACAACACTCCCAGACGATCTGCAAGACTCTTAGATAATATACAATACTCTCAGACGATCTGCAAGACGCTCAGATGATATACAACACTCTCAGACAATCTGCAAGACTCTCAGACGATATACAACACTCTCAGACGATCTGCAAGACTCTTAGATGATATACAATACTCTCAGATGATCTGCAACACTCTTAGACAATCTGCAAGATTCTCAGACGATCTACAAGACTCTAAGATGAAATACAAGACTATCAGACAATTTGCAAGAATCTCAGACAATCTTCAAGAATCTCAGACGATCTTCAAGACTCTCAGACCATCTGCAAGACTCTCAGACGACCTGCAAGACTCTCAGACGACCAGCAAGACTCTCAAATGACTTGCAAGACTCAGACGACCTGCAAAAAGTCAGAATTTCAATTTCTTACCTTTTTCATTAATCGAATTCTGATTGTCCTTAGGTAAAACACTAGGCCTCGTCGGACTGGGTATCCTGTAAGTCCTGCTTCCTGATGTGATGTGAAGACGAGAATTGATATTCCTGGATAAGGCCTCCATTTCATTATTCTGATCTTTGTACGGGCTACGACTAGTTGTTTGGATATCCTCTTCGTTCTCATCACCGATGAAGGAAATCGATTGGGGTGCCATCTCATCTATGGGGGGCGATTTTAAAGGCATTAGTCTGGCGTCACCTTCACCTGGGAAAATTGACCGATGAAATATTGTTTGATGTTAAACTAAAATTGTGTTATTACCTGACATGGGTCTATTATTGGTGTTCATCGACATGTTGGTATAATGTGATGTGACATCTCCACCGTTTGAGAAACTTTCATAAGGTCTACTCGGTTGGGCTCCATAGGGGCTCGTGGATTGCTGATTCTGGTTCGTGTACTGTGTTTGATTCGGTTGTTGGTTTGAGTATTGGTTCAGATTCTTAAACTGATTCTGCTGCTGCTGCTGTTGCTGCTGTTGCATCTGGTTACTATACCTCCTCTCCTGATACTGCTGATTCTGGTTCTGATACTGCTGGCTAGGATACTGATTATTCTGCTGCTGATTATAGTCATTCATCGGTTTACTGTAAGTCTGGTTATACTGCGGCTGGTTATTATAATTCCCTTGATTGTAATTCCCCTGTTGCGTTTGTGCTTGTTGCAACAAATGGTTGCCGTACTGATTGTTTCCCTGGTTTCCAAAATGAGTAGCGACTTGTATCGGTTGCATTTGGTTGTTGTATTGATGAGGTTGTGCTTGGAATTGGTTGAAATGCTGCTGAGGTTGTTGCGGTTGGTGTTGAGGTTCGTGGAGGACGAAACCGTTGTTTGGCATTTGGAAGGAATCTAAAAAAGAAATTGAACTAGTTGAAAGTGCCATTTAGCCTTAAGGGGCGCAACTAGTGTGAAACTTTGAAAAAATCGATTTTTGTTTTGTTTCATATTTCGTTAGATTACACCTTTATTAAAAACATATATTAAAAATAACATATTAAAATTTCAAATCGACATGTCAAATAGTTTTTGAGTTACAGCCATTTAAAAAAAAGTATACATATAGTATATAGTATAACGATCATTTTATCTTTAAACGCGTTTTTCTCGAAACAGCATTTTCCGAATTTGCTGCAGTGATTACTCAAAAACGAATGATCCGATCACTATCAATTTTTTTTTACATGTTGTGTATATAGTTCTCCGTAAAATGAACCTTCGATTTTTTGATCGGATTAAAAATCTAAATTTGGCAGTCGAAAAACGAGCAAAATTTTGGGTAAAATTCGACTTTTTTTTTAAAACGCCGCCATTTTGTCAATTTTTGATTTATTTTTTTTATCGTAGTTCATTTTACAGTCAATATTATCTAGTTTAACGAGAATTTTTTTTTTTGATTTCATCCACGTAGAGGCCGAAATCACTGCAGCAGTTAAGGGCCTTTTTTTTGTCACGCCGTTGGAGATCGACGATAACTTAAAAAAATATTTAATTTGTTCTTCAAAAATTTTACTATGTATTCTTAAAACATGTATAAATATATTTCTAAAATTTTGAAATGATTGATAAAGTAGTTTTTTTTAATATAAATTCCCAAAAATCACCTTTTTTTAGGCGGTTACACTAGTTGTGCCCCTTAAGACAAGTTCCATAAACTTCCGGAAATGTGTAATAATTGACTTAATCGAAAGAAAATGAGATTTAGATATTTAAATAAAATTAGTCAACTGTTTATTTCGAAAATAATGTTTGCGATTAAATCTAAACATTGCGATTTCCAATAGAATTTTCTCAAACACATTTAAATTAACTGTAATTATATTAATTATATGCAGAGACACTAGTGATTGTATGCCCTAAAATTATATATTATTTTAAATTTTAATGAGTTGATAATGTTTGACTCATAACATCACAAAAGCAACTTTTGACACAAATTTTGACTGATAATTTTTTAAACTTTGATGAATTTTAAAAATTAAACTACTTGTCGTAGGGCCGTAAAATTTCAGTATGTTGCCAGGACCATGATATCTAATAACTACGGTTTGTCGGTTTTCAAAAACCGACTTTTTGATGAAAATTATGAAATTCGAAAACCGGTTTTTAGCGGAAAATTTAGGTTTTTACTGTATAAATGTAAATTGCCCTACGCAAACTTTAAAAAAAGAGTTTTAGCCCTAGAAGTCAAAATTGAAAAAACAAAATTTTTTGAATTATTATTTCACTCTTTAAAAACGATTCAGTTTAGTTCGGTTGCAAGTGAGAAAGTATTTTCTATTTCGAAAAATAAACGTCCTCAGCTTTTAGCAATCATATTTCATTAAACCAGAAAATAATTAAATATTTGAAGTTAATTGATTAAAATTGAATATAATAATCTTGGGATTTTGTTTAACTGTTTTTGGAACTAAAATTGACATTAACAAGTATGTATCAATATGTATGTATTTTTTTTTTGTTCTTTAATTAAAAGTTGAAAGTTTTTTCTATTAACAATGTATTATTTTTATTTATTCGAACTCTTTTCTTTTACTGTGATAAAAATACTTATATTCTTATACGTGAAAATGATGCTTGAATAACGAATAATCATTTTCAAAGTAATGTAAACCAAATCAACTATTATTTCTTTATTCTACTGATTAAACTAAAAATAAATATGTTTACTATTCATACATTAAATAAATTCAGCCAAAAACTGCTTTAAATCACACTAAATTTACCGATTTTTTTTTGTTATTACAGAATATTCGAGCAAAAATTGATTTTTATATAAAATTCGAAAACCGGCTAAAACCGGTTTTCTGGAAAAACTACAATTCGAACGCCGGGTTTTCTGAAATGTCGGCTTTTGCATAAACCCTACTATCAACATAATAAGATTCATCAGAATTTTGTTTTAACAGTTAATTACGAAAAAAACCTACTTAACACGACTTTCAAATAATATCTTTCGAAAAGTTTTTGAATTTTTAAAATCGGTTCAAAATTTTTGGCTAACTACAAAACTTAGCACTTTTTTGCTAATTACAAAAAAAACTGCTCAGCCTATCGTATCGAAAATCTAACCACGCGAGTGCCTATCAAGTTTCATTAAATGGTTTTAAAATTATTCAAATCGACTCAACCGTTTTTGAGAAAACGTCGATGAAAGTTTTAATTTTGACAAACGCCAAGAAAACGCAACCAATTTTTTCAAAATTTGGCGAATTTTCAAAGTTGGCGTAGGGCCGTAATACTTTAGTATGATCTAGCAGACCATGATATCAATCGCCAAAAAAAATCATAAAACTAGTGGGGTGGGTGGCATCGTGCCTTAAGGCAAATTGCTGGAACTTCCCGTACCGTAACGAAATGTTCGAGGAATATTGAATGTTTTCAAATAGATTATTATAAATATTGTAACATTGTCTAATATTTATAAGAATTATATAAACTGAATTGCAGAGTTGAAATTATTTGTTCAAAGTATATTAGAACTATAGTCAGAATTAAAAATAAAATCTGAATTATTTTCGATATACAAAAAATTAAAAAAAAAAAAAAAAAAAAAAAAAATGGTACAAAATTTTTTTTTTCCAAAATCAATTATTTTGTTAAGACAAGCAGAAAGTTCTTTGAATCAATTGAATCGGACGCTTAATTCTCTCAAAAACTGCCATTTTTTGTACATTTAGCTCTGTATCTCCGAAATGGCTGGGCCTGCCTTTGCGAAAAACTAATAACCCCTTCTCCCAATCATTACTAATTGAATGTTTTTTAGATCATTCAAATCGGATGCTCCGTTCTCTCAAAAACTCGATTTTTATTTTCTGCACTTTTTGCTCCTTATCTCCGTAACTGCTGGACCTGCCTTTGCCAAAAACTAATCAGCTCTTCTCCTTATCAATAGGAATCGAATGTTTTTTAAATTATTCAAATCGGTTAATCCGTACGCCCGAAAACGTGGGCGAAAATTTGTATCCATACATACATACACACACACACACACACACACATCCATTTTTTCTGAGGTATGCCAAAACGTTCAGAAACCTTCAAAACGTCGAGAAATGTAAAAATTTTCAATTCCGATTTTCGGCCCATTACAATAACTTACCCTACGGGAAGTTAAAAATCGTCAAAAAAAATTTTCAACAGTTAATTACAAGAACACGTCCCAGCGAATTTTTACCAAAAACTAATGAGGTCGATTCCAAAACAATATCTTTCGAGCGGTTTTTGAATTTTTAAAATCGATTCAGAATTGCGCGCTAAAATGTGGACGAAATTTTTTTCACTTTTATGCGATCTACAAAGAAATGGCTCAGCCGATCGTCGCGCAAAACTAACAAACGATGGTCCTCATCGAAATACATCGTACGCTTTTAAACTTTGCAGCCGTTTTTGAAAAAAAAACGTGAATTTACGGTAAAAAATCTGTTCACATACACACAAACACATACTTTTTCCAAATTCGGTCTCATTTGATTCAGAATGGCTTAATTGTTTAAATAATAAATTTCATTTACTATTATCTTACTTAAATTAGATTGGGATCCCCAAGTTCGCCTCTGGTGCGTTGTGACTGGTTCGTGCAGGAAAAATTGAGTTTGAGGCTGATTTTGTTCCATGGCATGTGAAGGCTGAAAGAAAGGAAAGGGATATATTTAAATTTCTGGTTCACTGGAAAATTAAAAATACAGTAAACATGTGTCAATTATTATGGTGTACCTGTTGCTGTTGTTGCTGCTGCTGCTGTTGTTGTTGCATATAACTTTGATTCCTAATTTGATCTTGTTGAGTTGCTAAGCGTTGGATATCGGATTGAATATCTTGCAAACTATAGTTCATTCTGAAAAAGAAAATCAAAATATGTAGAAAAATATAAGTTGATATAATCCAAATACAGTCTGGGAGTGTTGTAAATCGTCTAGGAGTGTTGTAAAATGTCTGAGAGTGTTGTAAAATGTCTGGGAGTTTTGTAAAATGTCTGAGAGTGTTGTACAAAGTCTGAGAGTGTTCTAGATCATCTAAGAATTTTGTAAAATATCAGAATGTTCTAAATCGACTAAGTGTTAGACTATTATATTAATTATAATTTTTTTTTTTTCTTACTGTGCGATTGAGTGTTGATACTGTTCCAAATCGATATTATCAGCACTGTCTGGTGTCCTTCGATTTTCAACAAAGTACTGTGGCTCTTCGCTTATATCCTACAAAAACAAAAATAATTCATTAACATTTACAAAAATACGACTTTAATAATATTTCAGTAAAAATACCAATCACCGAGTTCAATAAGAGATAATTTAAGGTGCAAATCGTGTATTGAAATACAATAATAATGTAAATATAGTGTTGGAAACTGATAAATAATTTTTGTTTTACTATACCTGTTCCTTGTTATGTCCCATTTCGATAGAGTCTGCCATTTCGGTAGTGTCTGTTGCACTTTTACTCTACAGAGAGAAAAATAGACCAAATGCCCCAAAGTTATAATAAGATACATACTTGTGTATTTACATTATATACATCTATATACATACAAATTTATATATATATATATATATATATATATTTATATAAGTTATATACGGTGCAAAAACAAAATGAAAATCCATGCATCGATAATTTGATAACTCAAAAATAACATACTAAAATTTTAAATCAATATCTTAAATAGTTTCTGAGTTACAGCGATTTGAAAGAGTATATATATAGGATATAGTATAACGATTATTTTGTGTTTAAACGCGTTTTTCTCGAAGCAGCATCTTTCGAATTTGCTGGAGTGATTACTCGGAGAAAAATGATCCGATCGTTATCAAATTTTTATTTGCATCTCCTCTATATAGTTCTCTATACGATGACCCTCCAGTTTTTAGATCTAATCAAAAATCAAATTTTGCCAGGCCAAAAACGACCAAAACTTTAGGAAAAATTTAACTTTTTTTTCAACATGCCACCATTTTGTCAATTTTTTATTTTTTTGTTCGCCCGAGGGTCATTGTACAGACAATATGTTTTAATTTAACGAGAGTTTTTTGTTTTTATGTTTTATCAACGGAGAAGGTTACAATTACTCCAGCAGTGAAGGATCTTTTTTTCTATAGCGCCGCCGGAGATCGCGTGTCATTTCAAAAATATTTAATATTTTATTTCTAAAATTTTACTGTGTATTCTCAAAACATGTATAAATATACCCTCAAAATTTTAAATAGATAGATTCACTAGTTTTTTTCATTTTTTAATTCCCATCAATGACCATGTTTAGGTTGTCACACTAGGTGTGCCCCTTAATAATTGATCCGATAAATAACAAATGTCCATGATAGTGTTATTTACAACTAATCGACATAATAGTTAATAAATACGCAAAGTATCTGCTACAATTAAATTTTTTTCTTTCGAATTTTGTACAATACATTTAAAATTACATTTTATAGACACTTACATAACAGAGGATTTTCTATATGTTCACTTGTTAACATCAATTATTAACAAATTACTATCCGTTTTTTCGTTGAAATTGAACGATTTTAAATAAAGTACTTGCTAAACAAACAAAAATCGATATTTTCAAAATATGCTATGATGAGCACTTAAAAATGTAATTTTAAATATACAGTAGAAAATTCGAATGAAAAAAAAATTAAAATTGTTGTAGTTATTTCGCGTGCCGCAGAGCGACACGGCTTGCCGAGAAATGACTGTGATACCGCCGTTTTTAATTTTTTTTACAATTGTATTTTATTAAAATACAATAAATGACTACCTTAAATATCATGATTTTATTACTTTTTCTTCCGCCCGAAAAAAAATGTTAAAATATACTTTTTTACTGCTACGGTGGTGTAACCTCTTAAACACCACACAGTTTATATTTAAGATCATTAAATCAAATTTCATAAAAATTTACTTGCAACATGTCAAGATGAAGTTAAAAAAAAAATCAAAAAAAAAATATCCAAACAGATGTATTCATATTTTTAGCAAATTTTAGACTTTCTGCATTTGCAGTACTTGAGTATAAAAATCTATTTGTCCGTCAATTTTCCATCAAATAAAACCACTAAAAATCTTCTTTTATACAAAATACAATATACAATTGATACCTAAACTTCTACCTAATCCTAATATCAACATCTCATCAATTTTACCTTAGAAACGTGTCTAAGAAAAGCCTTTTCACCAAGACGTCTCCGCCTAACAGAGACGGCCATCTCCATTTCCCTTTTTTCGCACTCGATCCTCCTCCTTTTTTCTTCCAATTTTAATCTAATATCATTTAAACGCACAGCAACTGCACCACCGTTGTTGGCATTCTGACCACCATTGGGATCTAAAAAAACACAAAAAATAGAAATAAAAATTAAAAAAAAAATTATCGGGAGATGTTTCCTTTAACTTACCATTGCTATCGTCGTCTTGAGTATTCATGTAACTTTGCTGCTGCCAAGTCGTAGTACGTTTCTCTCCATTCGAATTGGCTGGTTGACTAGTGTTCATGAAACTTGTTAAGTTGTTATCCGATTGATTTGAATAACCTGGATAAAGAATAATACATTATTAATTTAAAACTTGCTAGATAGCAGATTTATATTTACCTTTTCTATATTGTTCAGGATTTTTGATATCCCGGTATCCCAACGTCGTCGTTTCGCCATCAGGAACGTCCCTTTCTTGACTCATCGTTCTTTGGAAACGCTACAAAAAAATTAATAATTATAACATGCACAATTTTTGTTGTGATTTTTAACTTCCCGTAGGGTAGTTATAGTAATGAACCGAAAATCGAAAATGAAAATTTTTGCATTTCTCAAGATGTTTTGAAGGTTTCTGGACATTTTGGGATACCTTAGAAAAAACTAACCAGCACATCTCCCTATTGATAGGAATCGAATGTTTTTTAAACCATTCAAATCGGTTGATCCGTGCGCCCAAAAACGTGGACGAAAAAATGCGTACATACGACACACACACACACATCAATTTTCTCTGAGGTATGCAACAATCTCTGAGGCATAACTACCCCTACGGGAAGTTGAAAATCAGATATGAAATTGATGTTGTCCTGAATAGTTCTTTACTTTTCAACTGTCTCAATAATTTTAATAGGTTATTTTCAAATCGTGCGATATAGAATTATTGCTATCCTGAAGAGTTCTTTACTTTTTCAACTAAATAATTTTATACGATTATTTTCTGATACGTTTTTTACTTATTTTCTCAAGTGTTTGAATAATTTAAATCGATTTTTTGGAATCGATATGTGACATTTTTATAATTTTTTCTGGCGATCAGTTTTTAAGTCTAATATCCATTTATCCATCTTAGCTGTCGTTGATGAAATATTGTATTCGAACTTACATACATTCATGCACACATATTAGGTTGTCAAATATCTCCCTTCCGCTTTTTTGCTCTTGGTTTATAATACAAAAAGCGGAAGGGAGATATTTGACAACCTTATACATCAATTTTTTTCTAAAGTGTTCCGAAATGTTTAGAAATGTTTGAAACGCTCAAAAACTTAAAATTTCAGGAAATTAATAAAAGTCGGATTTGATATCCTAGTCACCAATTAACTAACACACACATTATTAAATATAATATTCATAATTAATTATTATTACATATTTATTAATTAACTTCCCGTAAGGTAGTTATAAAATGGGCCGAAAATCGAAAATGAAATTTTTTGCATTTATCGACGTTTTGAAGGTTTCTGAACATTTTATTGGCATACCTAAGAAAAAATGGATGTGTGTGTGTATATGCATGTATGGATACAATTTTTCGTTTTCGTTTTCGTGCGCACGGATTACCCGATTTGAATAATTCAATTCTTATTCGATTCCTATTGATAGGGAGATGTGCTGATTAGTTTTTGACAAAGGCAGTTCCGGCCGTTATGGAGATATGGAGCAAAGAGTGCAGAAAATAGAAATCGAGTTTTTGATCGAATGGAGTATCGGATTTGAATGATCTAAAAAACATTCAATTTGTAATGATTGGGAGAAGAGGTGATTAGTTTTTGGCAAAGACAGATCCTGCCGTTTCGAAGATACAGAGCTAAATGTGCAAAAAATGGCAGTTTTTGGGAGAACTAAGCGTCGAATTTGGATGATCAAAAAAACTCTGCTTTTATTGATAAAACAATTGCTTTTGAGGATAAAAAATTATTACATCTTTTTTTATTTACCATAAAATATTTTTGTAATTTTGAATTATTAATTCAAAAAAAAAAAATGACTCAGGCTAAGCACAGTCTAAGCGCTACTCTAGTACAAATGTTTACCCGAGTGCGTTTAGACTGTCTATGTACTGGAGCACTTTTCCAATTTTGCGAAAAAAAAAAACTATTGAAAAATGTGAAAATGCCGGCAAGCTAAGCACAGTATAAGTGAAAATGTCGCACAGAATTATTTGCAAATGCACAGTAGACTGTGACTATACGGGAGCACTTTATCAATTTTGTGCAAATTAGGCAACTATTTTTGCCATTTGAAATTGAATTTGAAATGAAATGACGATTGTTAATGTTCTGGAGATAAATTGATTTATGATTTGCATTTGATTTGCTCAGATATAACAAGATAGGAAAAATAATGAAAGTTACAGTATTTGTAATAATATATTTGAAAACGTTTAAAATTTCTCGAATATTTCATTACGGTACGGGAAGTTCCAGCAATTTGCCTTAAGGCACGATGCCATACACCACTAGTTATTATTTTACCTGGTGCAACATTGGTGGTGTCTGCGTTGGCGGTGGTACCATTTGCGTAATTTTCGGAGTGTGGTCTCTATCAGATACTGTAAAAGCACTTTGACCATCTCCAATTGTATCATTATCGTACAACCTTAAGGAACCTCTTGCGTCTTGGACTGTTGAACGCACTGCCAAATTGGGCTCTAAAACCAAAAAAAGCACATGCCTTACGATGTCAATTTAACGAGTATTTTGATTGATTATTTACCCGTGCGATTGAGTGACTGTCCAACCTCCTTCTCAATGTTCCTGCCAATAAAGTCTAAATGTTCCCGAGAGCCTCCAAAGTTTTCGACGGTGAGTTGTGACCTGTCGTCGGTTATTGAGTTGCGCCTAGACCTCGATTGGGGTTGCATCGGGCTGCCTGATTGGGATGTTGGGTTTGTGGAAGCCGTCGATGGTCTTCCTGCTGGAATGTCTGGAAATAATGATATAATGTTTTTTATGATGCATTGATCACGTGACCGATTTATAGATTTTTAGACCTCCCTTCCGCCCTTGGTGATTTTTTTTTAAATTAACTATCCCACGTTACAACTGGCGAAAATCGTGAGATTTTTGGATTGAAAAAAATCGATTTTTTAAAATTCAGGTCACGTGATATTTTACTAGGGTGTCCCTTTCACCACGTAATATTTTCTGATTTTTCGTCAATTTTTGTCAATCTTTTATCAGGAGCTGCTGATTAATCACGTGACCGATTTTTAAGCATTTTTTACTCCTCCCTTTCCCTTAGTGATATTTAAAATTACCCCCTCCTCTATCCAACATCACATTTTTGAATTTTATTAAAAGAAATGTTGGACTTTTTTAAATTCAAGTCACGTGATATTTTACTAGCACACCCTTTTCTTCACATAATATTTCCTGATTTTTTGTTAATTCCTTCTATTTTAATTACCATTCATGAATTCGTTATTAATGAACTCTTAGATATTTTTTGAGCTAAAGGGTTGGCTGCTAAGAAAGTGAGAATTTTTGTTGGAAAATCAAAGGCGATTTGATCCTGATACTAAATAATTTTATTATGTAATGTATTTTTCATTTTGATCAGTAGCCACTTATCACGTTTTAAGGGGCTACCCGTTAATCACTTGACCGACTTTTAAAGATTTTTGGACCCTCATCCCCCTTGATATTGTTTTTAATTAACCCCTCACCCAGCATCACGTGTGTTTTTAATATCTAGGAAAAATCATAAGATCTTTGGATTTTTTTGAGAATTTTTAGTTTTTTTAAAAAAATTCGGGTAAAACATGAATGAATGTGATCATTCTCGTCTTTCGCCACGTAATAATTCGTGATTTATTGTCAAACCCACCCATTTAAAGCTCACAATTAATGAACACCTTGGATATTTTTGAGCTAGGAAGTTGGTATTTTCGTTGAATAATCAAAGTCGTAACGTATTGCCCATTGTGATCAGTAACATTTTTCGTCTGTTAAAGGGCTGTCCATTAATCACGTGAACCCCCCCCCCGCTTGGTAATATTTTTTAAAATTAACCCCTCACCCAAATGACGTGTTTTTTATTACCTATAAAAAATAAATTAATTTTTGGATTTTTTAAAAAAAAAATTATAATTTTGTTTCAAGATTGGGTAAAACATAAATGCACGTGAATTTTTGCCAAACCCCTCCACTACTTTTAAGGCTCACCAGTAAAGAACAGCTCCTTGAATATTTATCGACCTAAAAAAGAGTTGGCTCAAAGTGAGGATTTGCTTTTTCAGAAAATCAAAGACAATTTTTTATGAGACTGCATATTATGTCATGTATTGTGTATCATTTTGATCAGTGCAATCCCATGGATTTTATTAGCAAAAAATTGAATGAGAATTGATAAAGAATTGAACTTTTTACCTTTTAAGGACTTTTGTAGAGATTAAAACAAAAAGTAAACATGTGGTGCAAGGACAGTACTATATGGTACACGTGAAAATACATTCCAACCAAGTTCTAATATGATATCATATCAAATTGGATAAAATTATCAGATTGTTTTAGTTTCTACCTACCTCTGTATCCCTCTGACATCAATTGAGCGCCTAAAGTGGGCACTGCACGACCTCTGTGCACCGGAAACATGGATTCACCTGCAAAAAAAAAAGATTGTAATTAAATTAATTCAAATAGTAAGATTGTAATTAAATTAATTCAGTAATTTATATTTATATACTTTTATTCTACTTACAGTCGTTGGTGGTGTTTGGTTCCGAGATGGTGCTTGCCGAAGGACTCGAGGAACGTACACTGACACTTCGCATAATGTGTGAAGATGATAAGGATCTCGATACTAAAACATGTGACAAAAATAAATTAAAAAAAATAATTTTTTTTTGAAATATGATAATAACACGAATAAGGTTACTAAGCACATCGATGGACTACTATAAACTATAAACATTATATATGAAATTGCGCTAACACAATTAAGATTTAATTGGCAATTGATTGGAACAGATACGAAATGATAAATAAATAAATAAATAATATTATATAAGTGAATTTTATACTATGATGTACGATTAATGAATTATTCAAGTGAGTATGGAAATAAAAATAATGGAAAAAATGAAGCGCCAAAAACATTAAAATTATTTAAATACTTTCACAAAATTCATTGATACGAACTACGAAAAGAATTTGACTGCTAAAAATGAATCGTACTAAAATATTGACAAAAATCTTTTGATGTATATTACTATTATCTTACTACTGGGTCAATTCTCGGATAAGCTGTGAATTAATTTAAATTAAATCATTAATAAATAAAAAGTATGATACTATACTATATACAATGTTGGAATAAATGCAATACACTAATATATAAGCTATAAGCTTTCAAGCTAATGGATAATTATAAGCGATTTAATAAATAAGTTAATTTGCTAAATTTACAGGAGGTTATTCATATATTAAATTGGTGTGCCTTAAGGCAAATGTGTAAATAATCACGTATAATTTATATTTTACAATTTTGTTCGAACAAACGGATTATCTAGCAAGAATATAAATTTCTTTGAAAAGTTAAAAATAATTGAACAATCAGAAGTTTATAATCTATTCTCAAGTCTTGACAATTAAAACCTTAACATGGATATTTTAAGGAAACACAGTATAAGACAAATAATAATAATATAGGTTTCTTGGTTTTGCTGATGAATTACTTTGCATCGATTTTGTCATATATGAAAGCATTATAAGAATTAGTTCAAAGTGGCATTTTGCTTTAAGGCAAGTTGCATGAACTTCCCGATAAATGCAATAATTGATTCAATCGACCGAAATTGAGATCTGGATATTTAGATGAAATTAGTTCAATTGTACTATTAAAATATCATGTACGTAGTTCTTGATATTATTCAAAGATTTAAATTAATGGTAACATTTTTTACACAACTAGAAGATTTTTCTAGACTTATTATTCCGCTAGTTAGTAATAAAAAAAGGCTTTTAAATTTGTGATATCACAAAAGCGACTCTTGACACAAATCTTGATCATATTTTTTCAAGAATTTTTAAAATTAAACGACTTTTCGTTGAACCGTAATATTTTAGTATGCTCTTTAGAACCATGATGTCTATCAACATAAAAAGTCACATCGAAATTTTTTTTTATCAGTTAATCACTTAGAAACGGCTCGGCCGAACTTTATACAATACTAATCATCACGATTTACAAATAATATCTTTCAAGGAGTTTTTAAAATTTTAAAATCGATTCAGAAATTTTGGCTAAAACGTGGATGAACAATCTTCATTCGGCTAGGCCGATCGGCGCACAAAACTGAGAAACGATAGTCCTCATGGAGATACATCGAATAGCTTCTAAATTTTTGAAATCGGTCCATACGTTTTGGAGAAAACGTCGCTTTACGGCAAAAAATCTGTTCACACACTCACACACTCACACACTCACACACTCACACACTCACACACACACATACACACACACACATACTTTTTCCAAATTTGATCTCATTCGATTCAGAATGGCTTGAAACGTCGAGAAAACATAAAATTAGCGAGTCGGATTTTTTTATGAAAACATAAACTTCTCCTTCGGGAAGTTAAAAAAAAATATCCGAACACCAAAACAGTTTTATATGAACAACCTCCACACAAGCGCAAAAAGCTCTCAACTACAACTACTTTTACTACATACTATTACTACTAATCATGCACCTATCTATCTACTACTACTAAAGCTTTAAAATTGTTACAATGCCCCGCACCTCCCGGGCTGGTGACAAATTGGGCACCGCCGGCACCACCGCCGGCACCTCCGCGCAAATCCGGTATCTGTGGTTCGTTCTGCATGCGGTGGGCGTGGCACAGGGGCAGACGCCTAGAGGCGACAACCACCGCCGTCGTCTGCTCCAGTTCGACGTAGGATGATGATTCCGAATCGTCGTCTACGGAGGACATTGTCAGATCGGAGGGAACAACGATAGAATCGATTGGGGGTAATAGATATAGGGTTGTGTTATGCAATGCAATGCAAATTTACTACTACTGTGGTGAATATAAATTTATGTACTTGGTATTTGACCTTTGCCTTATCCGCCACCATCCCCGAATTGCATATATATATATGTATATATATATATATATATATATATATATATATATGTATATATATATATATATATATATATATATATATATATATATATATGTACCAAAGCAATTTTACCAAAAATAATATACAAACATGTACAACAAATCGAGCAGATGATTTTAAGATTTGAATGCACCAAATACTACCCGACTACTTTCTGAATCCAAAAACTTTTATGCATGATATCCAAAATTGATTAAAAACTGATTGCATTTTGTTATAAACAAAAGTACACCCATACCTCGCTTTGCGTTTTTTTTACTGTTTACAGTTACTCACTGAACGCCATTGCGTTTCCAAAGTTGCATTGTTTTGAGTCCGAGTAAAATTAATGAAAAGTCTAATTTGTGGAATCCAGAGTTTAAAATTGGAATTTTCGGAATCCAAACCCTTGAAATTTGCGGAATGTAGATCATTGAAATTCGTATATCCGCAATATTAATATCCCTAAAATTCTAATCTCCGGAATATTCAGGTTTTTGCAAATCAGATCTCCGGAAAGTAGACCTTTGGAATTCGTATATCCGGAGAATCCAGATTCTTAAAACTCGAATCTACGCGAAATGTAGATCCTTGAAATTCTTATCTGCGGAATCCAGATCCTTGAAACTCAAATTTCTCGATTATAGTCGAGATCCTTGAAATTTAAATTTCTGAAGTCCACATATGCGGAATGCAAATCCTTAAAATTCTAATCTACGGAATCCAGATCCTTGAAATTCGATTTTCTGGAATCCAGAACCTTGGAATTCAAACCCTCGAAATTCGAACTTTCGGTATCCAGATTCTGGGAATTTAAATCTGAAGAACCTACATTCTTGAATTTCGAATTTCCGGAATCCACATCCTTGAGAAATTCAAATCTGCTAAATACAGATCCATGAAATTCGTATCTCAAGAATCCAAACCTTTGAAATTCAAATCTCCGGAATCTCAGGTTCTTAAAATTGGAATCTTCGAAACACATTTCCTTAAACTTCGTATCTCCAGAATCTTCAGATCTTGAAATTGGAATTTGTAGAAACCGAGATCCTTAATATTCAAACTTCTCGAATCCAGATCCTTGAAACAAAGCCCTTAAAATGTGAATCTGCGGAATCCAGATCCGTAAAATTCGAATCTGCGAAATCCAGATCCCTATAATTAGTATCTCCAGAATCCAAATCCTTGAAATTCAAATCTCCGAAAGGGTTAATTATAAATTGTTTCCTTGAAATGAGATCCTTGAAATTCCGTATCTGCGGACTCCAGATACTTGAAATTTGATTTTCCGGACTCCAGATCCTTGAAACTGGAATGTCCAGAATACAGTTCCGAATTTGAATCTCAAAAAATCATATCTGTGGCAACCAGATTCGAATCGGTGAAATCAGAATATCCTTGAAATTCAAGTCCTCCCTTGAAATTAGAGTTTGCGGAATCCAGATCCATAAAATTCGATTTTCCAGCACCGAGATTCTTGGAATTCGAATCTCTAGAACTCAGATTTTTGAAATTCGAATTTCCAGAATCCAGGATCCTTTAAATTTGAATCACCAAAATCTCGAGATCCTTTAAATTCGAATTTCCCGAATCTTAAGGTCCTTGAAATTAAAATCTCCGGAATATAAAACCTTGAAATTCGTATCTCCGTAATCTTCAGATCCTTGAAATTCGAATCTCCAAAATATTCAGATCCTTGAAATTCGAATTTCCGGAACCGAGATCCTTGAAATTCAAATCTTGGAAACCGATATCCTTGAAATTCGAATCTCCCGGATTTAGATTCTTGAAATTCAAATCGACGGAATCTTAAGACCTCCAAATTCGAATAATAGCAATCCAGATCTTAAAAGTCCGAATATCCGAAATCCAGATCCTTAAAATTCGATTTCCTAAATCCAAATTCTTGAAATTCTAATCATTGGATTTAAGATCCTTGGAATTTAAATGCCCGGCACTATATCCTTGAAATTCGATTTTTCGGAATACAGGTCCTTGAAATTCAAATTTACTGATTTAAAATCCCTGAAATTCAAATCTCTGGAATTTATATACTTTAATTTTGAATCTTCGAGATCGTCATCCTTGAAATTGCCAGAATCCAGATCCTTGAAAGTGCATTCTCCGAAAGGGTTAATTATAAATTATTTTTAATAAATTATTTTTAATAAAATAATTTCAAAATTGATTTTAAGAAAAATTTTGTTGTAATTGCCCGTGTATTTTTTTTTCTTTTTAGTTTTATAAAATAGTATTTTCGTAACCCTGGAAGTTACCTAGAATCTTTAAATGCTTTGCTAAAAAATTGTTAGTTTAATTTGTTCAATTGCGTCGTTTCGAATGTAATTCCTATGAAAATTGAGGTATGGGTGCATATTAATAAGAATTTCCTTATAAACCAGAAAGTCAGTTGTTTAATGATTTAAAATATGATTTTAAAAATAAAGTCTGATAGTAAAATATTTTAACTAACGTTCTAATATTAATTTAAGATTTGTGTTTGGGCAAACGATTAAAATAAATACAAATATTATTACATGATTATAATTCTACCTTCTTGGATAATCATCAAAATCATTTGGTGCATCAAACCTTAAAATCGAAATATGCATTGTATCACAATCTGTTTACATGTACGATAGGGAAAGAAGCAAGAAACTTTCGCTAAATACACAACCAAAATTAAAAAAATAAAAACAAATATGTAATAAAAATTTATATGTGAGTATAATTTATTCTTACGTGATCCAGCATATCGAACACATTTTGCAGGATGGATTTCTAAGACGGTGAACAAATCTGCGAGGAACACGACCAGGTTCTGTTTCATTGCTCTAAAATAATAAAAAAATAGTTACCATCTTAATTAATTAACCAAGTAATTAATTTTAATTTCTATATACAAATGATTAAAACCACAAATGATTTAAACCACAAATTGGTGAGACTCGTCATACGGAAACCAACAAATATTTTAGTCATGAGTTCCATAATTTCTTACCCTCTCATGTATGTAATATCTTCAGGAGTCATATGAAAAACAGAAAAGGGCAGTGCATTCTGTGAAAACTGTTGGACTAAGGACAAGTTGTGTACACTTTGCTGCACCGTTGGTAGATTAGACAACTGGAAACAAAAAAATACAATAAAAATAAGATAGTGTTATTTCTAGTAAATAATTGTTCTGTACTTGTATTTTATCAGCAGGCAGTTCATCGGGACAATAAAAGGACACCAAAGCTGCCAGAGCGATGCCATCACAAAGGTCCTTGTATTCTCTGACTCGAGGAAACTCCGATAACGATTTGCTGCTTTCTTTCTCTTCACCATTCTGCAAAAATAAAATAATAAATAACTAGTGTTGTATGGCATAGTGCCTTAAGGTAAATTGCTGGAACTTCCCGTACCGTAATGAAATATTCGAGAAATTTTAAACGTTTTCAAATATATTATTACAAATACTGTAACTTTCATTATTTTTGCTATCTTGTTATATCTGAGCAAATCAAATGTAAATCATAAATCATGAATCAATTTATATCCAGAACATTAACAATCGTTATTTCATTTCGAATTCAATTATAAAAAAAGTTGCCTAATTTACCCAAATTTAAAAAAGTGCTCCCGTATAGTCACAGTCTAAACGCATTTGCAAATAATTCTGTGCGACATTTTCACTTATACTGTGCTTAACTTGGCGACATTTTCGCATTTTCCAATAGTTTTCACAAAATTGAAAAAATGCTCCAGTACATAAACAGTCTAAACGCACTTGGGTAAAACATTTGTACCAGAGTGGCGCTTAGACTGTGTTTAGCTTGGGTGATTTTTTGATTCAAATTTTTAATCCAAAATTACAAAAATATTTTATGGAAAATAAAAAAAGATGTAATAATTTCTTATCATATAAAGCAAATTGTTTTGTCAATACAAGCAGGAAGTTTTTAGATCATTCAAATCGAACTCTTAGTTCACTCAAAAACTGCCATTTTTTGCACATTTAGCTCTGTATCTTCGAAATGGCGAGACCTGTCTTTGCCAAAAACTAATCACCTCTTCTCCCAATCATTACAAATAGAATGTTTTTTAGATCAGGGCTTCTTAAACTTTTTTATATAGCGACCCCTTTCAAGCTTAGGAAATTTTAAACGACCCCCTCCCTCCATATAATGAAATATATATTAACCGTAGATGTAGATGTAATATCACACTATTTTACAATGTAAATAAAATAAGGATTAAAGGTAAAGAATATGTACTCATTCATGCCACATATATATAATTGGAAACGTTGACATAAAACTATATATTTATTCAATAGAAAAAATAAACTTTTGTAACATTTTTTTCAATGAAAACATATTATTAACATCAAACAATATTAATGTGACGGATGTGATTGTTTATTTTTACACAAATAATTAAATCTAGGCTCAATTTGAGTTAGTGCAGATCGTAATAAATTTTCAACGTTTATTAATGTTAAACGGTATTTTGATTTTATGTAAGTTAATATGAAAAAGGATGATTCACATAAATATGTTGAACAAAATGGCAGTAATTTGTTTATTGCCATTTCCGATTGTAGGGGATATTCTGATTTGATTTGTATCCAAAATTCATGCATAGGCACTTGAGAAAATCTGAGTCGCGAGGTAATATCACTTGTTACTTCGGCTTTTAAGTTTAAAAAATTAATTTCTTCCATTTTAATTGCAAATGGATTGCAAAAACTAATCAGCACATCTCCCTATCAATAGGGATCGAATGTTTTTTAAACCATTCAAATCGGTTGATCCGTGTGCCCGAAAACGTGGACGAAAAAATGCGGACATACAAAACACACACACACACACACACATCCATTTTTTCTGAGGTATGCCCTTTAAAAATGTTCAGAAACTTTCAAAACGTCGAGAAATGCAAAAATTTCATTTTCGATTTTCGGCCCATTACTGTAACTACTCTACGGGAAGTTAATAATAATAAACAAAGATTACCAAGTATGTATAAGGTATGCCATCTAACATTTTTCATTTTCATTTTTTTTCAACGCTCAGCCGAGACTTTTTTCTTCATTTTTGAATGAAATTATTATAATCATTATTAAATGAAATAATTTCATTATGAACTGAAAGGATTGTACTTCCAAATAAAAAAATAAATTTTAGAAAATATACAGTAGTTTGTAAAAAAAAATATTTGGCGGACCCATAGACCTTATATACATGGACTGCTAGTCCCCATACATTTCTCAGGTACAAAAGTGTCAAAAGATGTTCTATGGTATGAGGGCATATGAGGGTAATTTCGCGGCCGAGATATGTCAAACTCGATTGCTTAAACGTCAAATGAAAGTCCGTGTGTTCGAAATTGTTGGGAAAATATTATATAATATACAATTTATGTTGAACTAATGAATGTAATGAACTATTTATTTATTAACTTCCCGTAGGGTAAGTTATTGTAATGGGCCGAAAATCGGAATTGAAAATTTTTACATTTCTCGACGTTTTGAAGGTTTCTGAACATTTTGGCATACCTCAGAAAAAATGGATGTGTGTGTGTGTGTGTATGTATGTATGGATACAAATTTTCGTCCACGTTTTCGGGCGTACGGATCAACCGATTTGAATAGTTCAAAAAACATTCGATTCCTATCGATAGGGAAAAGAGCTGATTAGTTTTTGGCAAAGGCAGGTCTAGCCGTTTCGGAAATACGAAGCAAAGAGTGCAAAAAATAAAAAATCGACCTTTTGAGAGAACGGAGTAACGGATTTGAATGATCTAAAAAACATTCAATTAGTAATGATTGGAAGAAGTGTTTATAGTTTTTGGCAAAGGCAGGTCCCGCCATTTCGAAGATACGGAGCTAAATATGTAAAAAATGGCGGTTTTTGAAAGAACTAAGCGTCCGATTTAAATGATTCAAAGAACTTTCTGCTTGTCTTAACAAAATAATTGATTTTGGAAAAAAAATTCAACTTTTTTTTTTATTTTATTTTTAATTCTGACTATAGTTCTAATATACTTTAAACAAATAATTTCAATTCTGCAATTCAGTTTATATAATTCTTATAAATATTAGACAATGTTACAATATTAATAATAATCTATTTGAAAACATTCAGTATTCCTCGAACATTTCGTTACGGTACGGGAAGTTCCAGCAATTTGCCTTAAGGCACGATGCCATAATTGCCTCAAGACAGAATTCCACTTACAACTAGTTTATTTATTTTAGTTAAAGTGTTCAAGGGAAATCAGAAAAAAAAATAAAAAAATGTTTAAATTCACTGAAAATAAGAACAGTTGACTAGAGCTATTATGGAAATTAGAAAGAAATATTTGTTTAATAATAAAATATTGTGTAATAATGAAATATTTGTTTAAATGTAATATATTTATTATTGGTGTTTAAAAAGCACAATTTTTGGAAAGTGGCGTACATGTTTATCAACTTCGCTTTTTTATGTTCTTCATGGTGCATTCTATTTGTTAAGTACATTTTACCACAGACCAAACACATTTTAGAAGACATTTTACTTCTTATTAGAATTTGTCTGCTTCAAAAAATTTTAAAACGCATATTTTTATCCTCTTATAGGTAAAAAACACGAGCGATCAAACATCTCGTAACTGTAAAATTTACGCGATCGAGAGCATTCGACTAATCTCGGTATAGTTCGTGTTCGTATTTGACATATCTCGGCCGCGAAATTACCCTCATATGCCCTCATACCATAGAACATATTTTGACACTTTTTATGCGCTCACCTAGCAGTCCATGTATTGTATAAAGTCTATGGGCGGACCCTATACCTTGTTTGAAAGAATGCTTACCTGTCTATTTCTCGCGGCCAGACAGACCGCCGCCCTGTCAACCCATCGCAAAAGTTCCGTCTCGTGCTCCATGACGCCCGCCACAGGCGTCAAACGCGCATCCTCAGCCCCAATATTAATACTGACACCTGCATTTCGCGTCATTCTGTCCAGGGCGGCGCTTACGCGCTGGTTGGAGCAGACCTCCTTCGCGTACACCGCCATTATGGATTCTATCACGCACATGTGAGCATCCTGGAAGAATATAATATTGTTATGTTAATCTTATATATAAAAATGGAGCTCTCTTTCAAATGTCTTAATAAAACTCGAAAACGGCTAAACCGATTTGGCCAGTCTTAGTCTTGAAAAATTCGTGCCGATTCAGAGATGGTCGGAAAGGTGAGATATTATTTCAAAATCGCGTAGAAACTTTACATTTTTAATTTGAACATTTTTGTAGAAGCGTAATTTGAATAAAACGATGGACGGTGGCTAATACGTCAAATGTCAAACGTTTTTGACAGATGATGTTTAATTACTTTTAATAGAATGTTCTGCGTAAATATTAATTAATTATGATTAAATTGTAGTAAGTAGTTTTGTTCGTAGTTTTATTTATATACAAAAACGTTATTAAACGGGCCGCAAGTGTTACTAGAAACTAATTCTTTCTGATTTTGTTACACCTTTTAAAATACTTCAATTTCCAATACGTATATCTTATGCTATAAATCACAAAGGCAGACGATGATTTTTTGTGTGATAAATTTAAAAAATCAATGTTTTAGTCGTGAATAAACAAAAAAATTATTCATCCACATCTACAGGTATGACTAAAAATATTGGATAACCCTTGGCATTAAAATAAATTGAGCTATTGGAAATAAATTTGTTCTATAAATTGCAGTGTATAATTTTTAATATACTATTTTATTGAACATATTTTAATATTTGTTAAAGGGATAATTAAAGTGTTAACTGTGGGAATTGAGAATCATAATTTTATTTTAAGCAGTTCTAATTCGAAAAACAATATTTATTATTTTTAGGTAAACGGTAAATATTAGTATAGGATATTAAAAAAATGTAGATGTGGGTACAGGACAACGTCTGCTGGGTCATCTATTTATTTATTTTTTTATTTATTTATTTAAATATATAGCCCACAGATTTCTCCAAAAAGGATTCAAAAATACAATTATTTTACATAATGAATAACAATTAAAATATATACAAAATTACAATATATAGTTAGTAACATAAAATGCTTAAGATAAAATTACATATAATGCAGAATGTAATAATATTATTTATAAACAGAATAAGATAAAATAATGAGATATTTGAAAAGAAAATAAAAAGGTTAACTTGTGCAGATGGAGATTATTTGATTAGGTGAAGTGTTGTGAATATCTATTTCATTATTAATTAAGTTAAAGTTAGAGGACATAAGTAAAATAGGCGAATTTAAAAGAGAATTAGATTTAAGAGTAGGATAATTGAAAAATAATTGTGAACGCGTAGATAGCCTTGGAACATTGAAGGATAGTTGATTGAGAATAAGAGGCAGTCTATAGAATTATTGCAAAGTTTAAATAAGAACATAATTGTACAGATAAATCGACGTGAGGCAAGGGAAGGAATATCAAATTCTTTTAGTAATGTATTGTGGTCAAAGCCACGTTCAGGGTAAATTTTATATGTTTTATAATAAAGGTATTTCAGAAATTTTCGCTGAACCTTCTCTATCGCATCCGAGTTGTTGATTTGATGAGGATACCAAATAATCGAAGCATATTCTAATTTTGAACGTACAATAGAATAGTACATGCAAAGAAGTGCATTGGTAGATTTAAATTGTTTACAATTTCTCAATATCTAGTATATTAATAAGTATTAAATTACTTTAGAGATACAATTTCTCAATTGTCTTCTATCTACTTACAATTCTGAGTGGGTTTGTCTGAATCAGTACGGTTTCAGTGAGTTCCCTATTCGATTGCACCAGACATCCCTTCCTGGCAAGGGCTGTAAGGACGGCCTGGTGCCCGAGCACCCTGCAGAGAGGGTCCCCGTAGGCGCTGGACAGCGCCAGGCCGTACAGCTCGCATGAGGCGAGCCTGGTGGCAATTTGAGGACGCAGTTGCTCACGATCCTGAAAAAAAAGATAAATTGAATATGAGCAAATGGAATTTATTAGTTAGAGGGTTGTTGTTAAAATACTAATCCCTACAATCAATCCAGACCTATATAATATAAATTTTAGGCCAAGATTTCTGGATTCCAGATTCTTTACATTTAGTTATTCAGAAAACAGATTCTTAAATTCAAATATTCAGAAAAGAGTTTTTATAAATTCAAATCCAGATCCTTGAAATTCCAGTAAGCCAGATGTTTGAAAATTAAATGTTCGGAATCCAGACATTCTTAAAACTCGAATTTCCGGAATCTCGACCTTTGAAATTCGAATTTGCGGAGTACAGATCTTTGAAATTGGAATCTCCGAAATCAGAATCATCGAAATTCGAATCTACGGAATTCAGATCCTTGAAATTCAAATCTTCGGAATTCAAAACCTTAAACACGAATTTCCAGAGTCAAGATCCTTTATCAGTTTATTTTTATATATTTTTTTCTCCATATTTGTCTTCAGTTTTTTTTTATATTAACTATAGTAAATACGCCACTAGGCTTTTATACTAATTTGTAAACAATCAATTGTAAACAACTTGTCAGCATTCTCTGCTAAATATAATTATTTTTATAGATTGCAGAATGAAATTAAAATAAACAAAAGATCTTTAAAATCCGAATCTCTAAAATCTAGATCTTTGAATTTAAAAATCTCCTCAATCAATATCCTTGAAATTCTAGAAGGATTCAAGATCTTTGAAATTCAAATCTCCAGAATCCAGATCCTTAAAATTCGAATCTCCAAAATCCAGATCCTTAAAATTCGAATCTATGGCATCCAGATCTTGAAATTCGAATCTCCGGATTTAAGGCTCTTGAAATACGAATCTGCGGAATCCAGATCCTTAAAATTCGAATTTTCGGATTTAAGATCCTTGAAATTCGTATCTGCGGAATCTAGATCCTTGAAATTCAGATCTTCGTAATCCAAATAATTGCAATTCCTTACAACGCAATTATCTTGTTTTTGGAATTTTGAAATTCATTTTCTCTGCAATATGAATTTTTTGACATCCAGATTCCTAATTATCTCCATTATATATTCAGATTCTTTAATATCCACCAGATGCTCGAATCCAGATCTTTCTGATTGGATCTTTGAAGGTTTCCCCTTTTTACCCCGTTTTACCCCTTATCCTATACATGATTTTGGATAAAAATTTACCTCATGTTCCCTTTAGAAATCTTAAAGTCTGGATTTTTATTTTTAAAATTCACTTTCTTTGAAATGCACATTTTTAAAAATGCAAATACCAAGAAATCTCAATACCCAGAAATCAGTATTCTTAAAAATCTGCATTAGATATCCGGATCATCCAAATCCAGATCTTTAGGCATAAAAACGAGATTTTTTGGAATATACATACACGGAGGAATCAATTTCATTTGGGATTTTTTTGTTTTTTAAAATCTGAGTTTTTGGAATCTGGATTTTAGGAATCTGGATTATTGGGGGCATTTTTGCTTGGGATCTGTATTCTTCAAATCAGAATTCTTGGAAATTGTATTCTTGGGGAGTCTGGATCCTTAGCAACAAAATCGAGGACTCTTTAGAACAAACTTTATATTCTCAGGATCCAGACATTCGGATGCACATTTTAAGATATCTAGAATGCAGAGATTCTTAGGATCTTAGATACTCGAAATTACTCAGTTCTTTTATCCCCCCTTATTCTATATAATAAAATTAATAAAAAAAAATTACCTCGTGGTCCCTGTAGAAAGGCTCTCGCATATTTTCCGGCACCCGATTGTTGTAAGCCTTTGCCAGGAGCCATTTCACGCTGGCACGCTGCTTGGCCTAAAAAAAAATATATTTACATTTTAATTATGAACTTTATACATTTAGATAAAGTTAACACTTTATTTTATTACCCTCTTTGAGGCAAGAAACTTAAAATAAAGAAATCTGAAACTTGCACGTCTTCAGCATTAGCTTTTATGATCCACTTACTTTACTAATCGATCTAATTATCTAATTAGTTCCTAAAATTTGCATAATCAAATGACGGTTCGATTAAGTAACCACCAACAATTAAATTCCTGATCGGTTATATGACCAGAAAAGTATTCTTTTCGCTAATGCAATGCAATCATGTCATATTCGAAAGTGCTCATAAATGGTCATAATCTAAAAAATAAAACTGCAACTAATAAACACCACGTTATATAATTGAATAGCACTCGTTAAAGTTAATGGAGGAAAAAATATAGGGACATAAAAAATAACTCGTCGTAAAAAATTGAAGAAGATGCAATAAGAAATACTTATTTGATAGTGTATGGCAATAATCAATTGCACAACCATGAGGATCAAGAAGCAAGTAAAGTGTTACAAAAAATGCTCCTTGCTTCCAAAGAACAAATGGAAAAGTGTCAACAACTCCATCGATCTGATTATTGATATATCGATAATCAATAATGGAATTAGAGGAGATGTATCTCCTTACCATCACTATTATTATTATTATTATTACTGATGTATAATAATAAGTGTGTCCATTGTAGCAGAACGCGACGGGAGCAGAATAAGAGGAGGAATTCTTTGGGAAAAAATCGTTCGATATGATTTGGAGTGGAACTAACGATCTCGGCTTCGACTCGCCGCTAATTGATATGAAATTCTTCGATAACACACTGAGAGCACAATTCGAAGCTGGGCAGGGCAGGACAAGTTAATTATCGATTGAGGTAATTAATTAATTGCATACCTAGTAATTATATATATATATATATATATATATATATCATATAATCTGCAATGCCACTCAACAGCTATTCGGATTTTAATAAATCTCTTCAGAGTTTGCCAAACAAAACGAAATAGTGGTAACGAACTAAAAATATAAGGGGATAAATGCGATAAATGACTTCGGCATTTTTGATAAATGACCGTTCCAGAAATGTGATTTGACTTAAAATTTGAGCTCAAATGGTGATATTAGTTCAATTGTGACTAGGAACATGTAAATTCGATGACTAAGATATGCAAGAGGTATCCTATTTTAAAAACAGGGTTAATTTTGCTCATCTGTGAGTCTTTTATACATAAAAAAAAGAATAAAAAATAAAGGGTATAGTGTTCATTCTACAAAAACGAGGTATTTATTTATTTATATGCGAAATAATGAAAAGAATTAAAAGAATATTTTCTAATTTACCAAATAACTAAAGTAGACTAACATAAGTAGTGTTCTCACTAAGTTGGTTGAGTTCTTTTTTCTCTTATTGTTAGTAGATTTTCAGTTTTCTATCCTTGAATAGAATTTCAACTTGATCTACAGCAGAGTCGGTTTTATTCAAGATTCAATAGATATACAAAGTATATTATTTTTTATGAAATATAGTAAGAAAATAAAAGGTGTCCATTATAAAAATAAAGAAAATATTAAATGGTTTTGAATCTGAACAACAAATTATGTTTTTTTGCTTTTGTTGTTACCGTGTATACACGAAGCCGAAAACTTGATTTCGAAGATAAAATATGTTTTGACATCGATTCTTAAAAGTTGATCGATAAAAAATGAATTAATTGGCGACATCATTATATTTATGACATATATATATATATATATATATATATATATATATATAGATTATATAATGAACATATATAGAATTTAGTTCTGAATTTTACGTTGAATTTTAGACGAATTGTAAGAGAAGCGCAAGTGATTCCTGGTACAAAATTTTAATATTGAGACCTAATTAAAAGCCTTTTTTTCATTCAAAATGTTATTATAAGCTAAGGAGTGTTATTATGGCAATACTAAGGAGTTCGAAATGAGACCTACTCTAGAGTTGCATTTATAAATAAAATATGCCTGAGTCAAACTACTGTTATTTTGATTTGTGTGCTATTTGGAGGTTAGTTTTCAGACGTTGACAGTCTCAAAAATTTAAATAAACGCTCGTATTAACACCATAGGTATAGCTATTCCACAGTTCTGAAACCACCAGAAGTAGAAAACAATTTATGAAAATGAAATGAATTTGACATACTAAAAAAGTTGTTATATTTTACTAAGAACTAGATAAAATTGACTACCAATCCTTATAAACAATTGATTGAAGTGTTGAATAAAAATTTTAAGTAAATCCAATACAAACTCGTCCTTATGCATAGTCCTAAGTATGCAATACAAGGTTTCGGGACATTTTTTACAAATTTCGAAATAACTCAAAAATTTTGTCCAGGAAATGCTTTTTTGTTTAACTTAGCAGAAACTAGATAAAAATTACGACTAATTCTCATAAACAATTTAGTGAAGTCTTGAATAAACATTAAAAAAAAATCCAATGGAATCACGCCAATTATATATTGTCACATACAAGCTTTCGGGTGCATTTTTTCACAGTTTTTTGAATAACTCAAAAATTTTATCCAGGACACTATTTTTCATTGAGTTTAGCAGAAACTAGATAAAGGTTACTACTAATCCTTATAAACAGTTTAATGAAGTCTTAAATAAAATTCTTAAGTAAATCCAATACAAACTCGTCAATGTATAAGACATTGACCTAAATATGCAATAAAAGGTTTCGGGACATTTTTTTACAATTTTCGAAATAACTCAAAAATTTTGTGCAGGACACTCTTTTTCGTTTAACTCAGCAGAAACTAGGTAAAATTTACTACTAATCCTTATAAACAGTTTATTGAAGTCTTAAATAAAAATTTTAAATAATTTAAATATAAACGCGAATTATATATTGTCCTATACAAGCTTTCGGGTCCATTTTTGCACACTTTTTTTTTGAATAACTCAAAAATTTTGTCCAGGACACACTTTTCTGTTTAAATCAGCAGAAACTTGATGAAATTTACTACTAATTCTTATAACCAGTTTAATACAGTTGTAAACAATTTTTTCGAATATATCCAATACAAACTCGCCCCTATACATTGTCCTAAGTATGCAATACAAGTTTTCGGGACATTTTTTTTACAATTTTCAAAATAACTCAAAAATTTTATACATGACACTATTTTTTGTTTAACTCGGCAGAAACTAGATAAAATTTACTACTAATTCATATAAACAATTTAGCAAAGTCTTGAATAAAATTTTGAATAAATCCAATTTTAATATGTACCCGAAGATATAGTGAATGAATGCAATGTAGGAGAGTGAGAGTGGTCCAGCCAAAAATCTTCTGGCTGCAGTGTATTTAACTTTATATAAAATCTACTTTACCACAATGTCATTTTAATAATGTATGCATGTATATATGTTTGTATGTATATATGTATATATGATGACGTCGGTTTGTGTGTGTGTTAGTGTTTGTGGTGAGGTCATCCCGTCGTGTTGTCCATCTGATTGCCTGATTGTGAGTGCCACGCCTAATCGTAAGTATGTAAGTTGGTTAAATGGAATTCTTCGAGATTAGATATTAATGTTTGCATTTCTATGTTTGTGTTTTCTCCACAAACGAGAGAGGCACGAGCCTATGATACAAACCTCCACATACATACATACATACCTATACAAATGTATTACAGCTATTACTGTAACATTCTTATCTAATTGATTTATTACTGCGAGTACTACACCTGGATGAGATGCACCGTTTCATCTTTAGCACAAATATCGTAATAAGGCCGAATTTTATTATATATATATATATATATATATATATATATATATTAGGGTGGTCCTCAATACGGATATTTGCGAATTTCCTTGCTCACAAGGGCTCAAATGGTTCCCAATTGATAAAAAACAATTCTCTCAAAGTGGGATATTTATTATTCCTGTGGGAATAACATGGACAATTTTTTTGAAAATTAAGAAGAAAAAAATTAGGTATAAATTAGCGACAAATGAATTAAAAGTGAAAATTCGTGTCATTTTTTATTGAAAATTCGTCGCTCTGCAAAATTTTTGAAAAATTGTTCATGCTATTTCCATACAAATTTTTGATTGAATTGTGCTCTATCTAAACGTTAATATTGAGAGCTAAAACTTTTCGAGAATTGTTTTTTTTATCAATTTGAAACCATTTGAGCCCTTGTGAGCTAGAAAATTTGAAAATGTCCATACTAAGGACCACCCTAATATATATATATATATAATATATATATATATATGCATGTATTAACATTATATACAAAGCCAATGGAACAAATAAAAATAATAAATAAACAGTATAATTATTTATCAGTCTCGACAATATTTACTTCAAGTAGATAAGCCTTTGATATATTATTTTGTTGAAGCTATAATATGTCTTAAATCATTATATCTTTGCTGAATAATGAAATACATTTATGTTTGGCAAAAAAAGTACAAATTAGTTGTCAGTGGCATTTTGCCTTAAGACAATTTGTATAAACCTCCCTGATATGTGAGGTAAATTTTAGTCCTAATATAAAATGAGGCTTATCAACCTATAACAAAAGCCTCTAAAATTTTAGGATGTTCGCTAAGATCATAAACCTCACTCGCCATATTCATTAAAAATGCAAAAACCAATGAGCACGATTCTTAATGATACAACCCTTCAAATGGCTTTGAAATTTTCGAAATCGGTTCAGAATGGGGCTCACAAAAAACATACTTTTTCCAAAGTCGTTCTGAAAAGATTTAGAATCACTTGAAACGTCCAGAAAACAAAAAATTAGTAAGTCAGATTTCCTGGCAAAAACAAATTCTTCAGAAAGTTAATTTATCAATATAACACAGAGATCCAGCATTTTTTCATGAGGCACAAAAAGTTCGATACACCACTAGTTCTTCTACATCACTGTTGTACCTTAGTCGGTCCTTTAATCAATTTTTATTATATACTTATGTC